AATAAAAAGCACTTTACGTTTACCTTCGTTGAACCATCTTTTCACCCAAGCTCTCAGTTGTCATTCATGCTTTCATATTAAATGCACACTTCAAAGTTTCAGCTTTTTGAAGCAATGAGGATGTACAAATTTTCCAATCATTACCAATGTAACTTTTCACTTCTATTCATATTTGCACCATCCATTACCATTAATTTTTCCTTGCTTTTCTTATCTCCACAACAGATCCCTTAAAATACATTTTGTCTGGGAGTAAACAACAGAATAGTTTACTTTCATCAGCATTAAAACATTTTTGCTTCATATGGCTCCAACAAATATGATAAAGTTGAGAAATTGTTCACAACATTTCTATCAACTGATGCTGCCTCTGCACACATATTTGGAAATTATCTGACAATATGTTTAAAATAGCCATGGCATCTTTTGCTACATTTAGAGGAATTGTGGTTAATCATCCATATAAATTCTTTAGCTCTTTCCTAAAAGAAAAGTTCATTTATGCAAGCTTGTTAGCTAAACCACTTCAAAAAAGCTTCCTAAACATTATCATAAGTACATGTGCAAAGTCATTTCCAATCTGTTCTTGCTTCTTCATAAGCTTTTCAACTTTTTCTGTTATGCTAAACTGTGCTTACAGTTTGTTTAAGTAAATGGATTCCTCACAAACTCTGACTGCTTTTTTCAAACTAAATTTCTTTAATAATGTAAAATTTCATACACATGCCAATAGCAATTCATTTCTTTTTTGCAGTTATCTTTCTCAGTATCACCCTCTTTTCTCATAAATACCAGAGTTCATTATATAGGATATATAAGTTGATTTTTCATTGGAAAAATATAGTCTGTTATAACCAAATATCTGCTGTAACTAAGTCTGAGATATCTAAGTCAATATTTTATTGTGGTAATTGTGATAAAAATTATTAAAATTAAAGACTTTGTTAGAAATTAACTAATGTAGAAATCAGCAGAATTAATATAGAGATGTATTGAATGTTATTTGATATATGTAACTGCCCGCTGCAACAGGATTCTCCCTTTTTGCTAATAAAGATTGACTGATATCCAAGTTAATTTACATACAAAGACCAAAGTTCATAGCCTGGACAGCCAGAAAACTAGTCCGTAATAGCAACGTGTGCAGGGATGTAACAGAAATTTCTGAGCGAGGGTCACTCACATCGCCAATAGCTTGCATAGACATAGTATGGGAAAGTACATAATGTAAAAAAACACAATAACCCCAAGATCACTAGCAACATATTATTGTACAAGGAGCTGCCATATCAATAATGCAGCTCCTTGCATGTCATACACAGTAACATGTATGACAATGTGCGAAGTGCGAATACGTTCGAAAAGTATTGCCCTCTGTCATCAGATCGGTAGGATCTGCTCACTGCGTCTAAGGATGGCTTTTAAAATGAGTGATAAAAAATGTGGAGACAAGACAATCGTAAAATCACTTTCTCCTACGTCAGGATTCCCGACATCAGTTAATTGATTTATCATGGATTAAAATGCATAAACTATTATAGATGATAAATGTGACATCTGAGTGACAACATCTGTATAGATCATAACAGGGTCTACTACTCTATATGAGTGGAGACTAATTAACTAGACCAATATAAAAACAACAACAATATTTAATAGAAGTCAAATGAAACAATTACAATGAAAATACAACATACTGAGAGATCAAATATATGCTAATCTAATCCGCGTATGTGAGGGAGTTTACATAAACCTATCATTTATACTACCTTCACAGAGGAGGCTTATTCTTCTGTTGACGTACGATCTTTATATGGGAGGTGATCGAGATGAGAATGTGAATCTTGAGCATAACTTCTATGTGCACATTATAAAGTATTGCCAACTTCTTATGTGGCTGTCCTTTCTAGGCTATCTCTTCATCACTGCTGCACAAGTTATATGTGGCACATTCTATCTTCAGTGAACTGTGTGAAAAAGACAGGAAATCTACCCCTTTTTACAGGGACAGCTGAGTAACTGACTCATCGTCATAGGACATTGAGTTAAACTGTAAAGTACTATATTATTTTTCCGACTTTCCAACGATTATCGACACTACTGTGTGCCGGAAATAGCCGTTCCCTAACGGGTACTTTACGCGGATTCGCGTTAGTGTGCCAGGCCTGGACTTTAAGCGTGCACCGAATTAAATAATGACAAAGTTTGTCAATAACAAAATCAAATATTTAATTAAACTTCTATATACAGTATTTAGTAAAAATCAAACAATAATTTATTCAATGAAATTCAACAAGAATCAATCCGACAACTCAAATCAATCTATTTCTAACTTAATTCTATTCCCCTTTGGAATTCGACAAAATCAAAGAATTAACTTATAAACAATAATTCTTATAAATTAAAGATCCTAATCGTCACCTCAATATACTAGGAACCTATTTCCTCAAACTCTCAAGACTTTCTATAATCGTCGATCCACAAATCGAATAACTTCAAAATCCTATCGGACACCTCTCTCTCGTTCACTGCTATAAGCTCGTTGCTATCAGGAATTCACCTCGTTCGTTTTCACTTGAGTTAGAGGCTTTATAGTGTGAGGTGACGTCACAATTCTGAATGAGCTCACTCTCCTCATTTACATACTTATCTGTAACATTAAATTTTTCTTGTTTATCTGGCAGATTATTTTCCGACAATACTTCGCTAACCTTTTACATTATTCTTTTTAACAATTATCGGGATGCTTTATTATTTTAAGGTTTAGCGATTCCTAACTGGGTTGTGGGGTCTTCCCCCCCCTTTTTTTCGGTGCGGACTTACTTTTTCCGCTTGGGAAGCGCAAGTGTGCGCGAGTTTTTCTACGGCGCTTTTCTTTCGTCGGTGAGTTGGTTTTTCTTCTATTTTTAAGTTACTAAGGTGAATGGTGAGGAAACCTTCGTCTTAAATAAACATAAGCCCCAAACAAAATATAATGAAAGCAAAATAAAAGTAAAATAAAAATAAAGCTCAGACTTGGTTCCTTACAAAACTTTAGTCAGTCTAGAAAGGAAGTTTGTTTCCTCTCTTTTCAACATCCTTTTTGTTAAAATTTTTATCAAAGAAATAAAATATTTTGTTATAATATTTTATAGTAATTAATCTAATTAACCCGCAGATCTCACAACAAGGGTCAATAAAAACAAACAAACAGCAGAACAAAAACAAATGTTAAATTTTTCTTCTTCTTTACCTCATGGCTTATCAAATAGTCTATCATTTGAGTCCGATGTGCCCATTTTCTGTTTCATCTGCTTTGACTCTTTTACATATTTACTTTTAAACTTGTTCGAGGGGAGCAGCGGGGAGTGGCTGAGAGTTAGGGATGGAAAAGCATTAGTATGGAACATGCCATCCCTTGCCACTCCATGTGGCTATGTGTGTTTGTATGTGCATGCGTGTTAAAAACTAATCGGGAATAGGATGGTTACGAGTTCTTGACTCCCCTATTGCTTAGTTGACTCGAGACCTTGAGGTCCGGTCCCACTTGTCTAAAGGATAGTAAAAAGGGTTTAGGGGGAAGGATCGTTAAATCCTTTCTCCCTTCAGGATCTGACACAAATCTATCAATTTCTTAGCGAATAGATACGTGTTAGATTGAGGACAAATTATCATGAGTGATCTCATGGAGGATTCCGGGTTCAGTATGGAGGTGATAATGCCGGAAGAAACGCACACCAATCCAAGTTCATTAACACTATACCCGTTTATTGTTGAACATTTTTACATAGATGATTAATTAAGGAATCGAGGGTACAGATCCCTCTCGGGACTTTCAATCCGTATAATTCATAGATTTCGGGTTTGATAACGGACAAAATATATATTAGTCGCGACCCTAACCACGAGATGGAAATATTCGAGAGAGAGCTTATATATCATTGTGAGTAGAATAAATACCTCTAGTTATAAACATTGATGTCTAGGTTGATGTCTAGTTGATCCAAATTCTCATTCTTCCCAGGTTTGAAATACAGTTCAAAGTCATAATCAAGTCAGAATTGTAAAGTCTATCGAAGATAGTGGCGACAAGAGGCAGGTAATCCACACACACAGTATAGAAAAATAACTTTCCCCCTGTGTCGTCATCGCACTTGCCTTTTATATGGGGGCTCTCTTCTTGAGATTTCCCAATGTACGTAACAGGTGATGATCTTCTTTGACCAATGGTGGGCGACGTGACAAAATTATGACACAACAGTTAACTCATCTTCTACAAGGAAGTATTTTCATGGAAACGGAGTTTTATGAGTGATTTTTATGAGAAAATTTGTTGGTTGTTTTTCTCTTTTTGAGTTAATCCTAACCTTTTAAAAAAATCGTTTTGGTTTTGAAACAAAACGGTAGACGAAAATGAATAAAAATATTCGAATCTCAGCATTCTTAAATCCAGGCCCTCACACATGCTATCCACCTATCCAAGTCATGTGTGTTATAACAAAGTTTGACTGTACATGCTCAATCAAACAAAAAAAAAAAAAACTAGTTAAAATCTAAAAAGCAAACATTTTGACTCCTGATTTTAAAATACCCACTAGTTATTGTTTTGCTACTAGTAAAAATGTAATTGTTTAATTTGACAGATAAAAAGTATGAATTTATGATAATACTCCAGACTAATTTGTACTCACTACTGGTTCCTCCATAAATGTTATATTTTTATTTTCAGGCTTGCCATGCAGAAGATATATTTTTGTCTACAAACCTTGAGATCTTTATACATTAAAAATGCCAGATTAGATCGACAGTCATTTTACTTTACCTTGACTGACACTCAGCCTTATTTTATTGTGAAAAGGATCGTCTTCAACTGTATTAAAACTTCTGTCGAGTATTCTCGTAAGAAACAATCTCATTTATCGATAAAAATTTTATTAATTAATATATGTTTCGTTTTTAAATATTACCAAAGTTACAATCGAGAAGGATTATTTAAAAATAAATAGAAAATATAAACTTACAAAGTGCGAACAAGTCTTCAAACAGTCCATTCTCCCTCTGATGTCTTTTCTGAAATTCATTTAAAATTTGACGTCTCCACTCACATACGAAAGCTCCATCTCCGTCCGCCATCACTCACCAGCACGTGCCAAATAAGTCAAGTAACTAATTAGATGTTGCCACTCCCCATCTTGTTATTATCGGTTTTATATTTATTTAACTTAAATTTCACGTAGACAATGAAAACAAAAACAAAAAGTAAATTTAATAATCTATCGAGACTAAAAATACATTTCATTACATTTTCTAGGATATTTTAATATATGAAAAATGTGTTACTGTATCAAGTTTATCCACTATTTATAATTTATGCCGCGCATCCTTTTTATTTTAATTATTTAATTTTTTTTACCATAAGAAACACCACAAAAAGACAGAATAATATCATAAGAAGGGTCATTAGAGAAGAGAGAAAAGAGATGGCTGTCATTGGAGTGTCTGTTATTGTTCATTTTGTGTTATTGTTGTGTTTGAGAAGTTCTTGAAACTCCGTCAAACTTTTTCTTAATTACTTTTTCATATAATATATGAAGGAAAAGAAAGAGGACTATATGGCTTCCTTGTAAGCAATGAACAAGAAGCCATTCGAGAATAAAATCCAAACTGCAGATTTTTTTTGTTTATTTTTTACTCTTTCCACCTTGTGGGCACTAACACGTCGTTTTTTTTCGTACACACTATGAGCTTGATCAAGTCTACATCTACAATGGAATGACCTGGTAGTGCAGGATGAAGCTAGAAGCCAACAAAATAGAAGTATTTAACAAAGGAACATGAAAATGATTAAACCTCTCAATTTTAAAAGGAGGGGTTTAATCTATCCCGGGCAGATAATCCACCGAAAAATTTATAGACCATCCCAGGTTCTCCAGATCTTAAAACCGTCTCGGCCATCTGATTCTATTGTGTTGTATTTTTAGTTTTTTATGTCTTGGCACATCTACAATGGTCATGTAAATATATAGCAAGTTTTAAATGTAAATGTTAAAATTGAAATGAATTATAGAAATTTAGTCGTAAAAATATAACAAAACATGGTCCATAGAATGAATAATATGAAAAATTCGTAACTATCAGACAAAGATATATATATATATATACAGTATATATAATTTATTTTAATTTGAAAAATGTACGCAAAAATTTAACAATTAAGTCGTAGTTATAAACAATTAAATTGCAAGTTATGATATGAATTTCGTCGTATTGCCAATAGATAAAGGAAGACAATGAACTGCAAAGAAGTTCATCGATACGTCAATCGACACGCAATCTAATTTTATATTTGAATTTAACCTGCAGAAATTTAGACGTACAGTACTGGTACAGCAATTTGCTGTTATTTCATTACTTCTTCAGCTTTGGGCCTGATGGCCGACCTACCGCTCTGGAGGACCCAGAATCCAGAATCCGGACGGGTCGAGAAATCCCAGGAATTTTTCGGGGGTGGTCCGTTCGGATATGTCGGGCCCCATCCCTCACCACCCGGTCGCCCCATTGTGGGCTTGCTAAAAGAGGCCATCTAAGTGCCCACAAGACCGAAAGAGTTAAAAAAAGGTTCTTCAGCCTTCTACATACTATTTATGTTCATGCTATCAAATGGAGACTCGTTTTATTCAAATCAACTTTATTTTTATTTGTTCAATATTTTTTATTAATAAAAATAGGCCTATGTATTAAACATTTTTTTGTCATGTCACATGACAAGTGAATTTTTATAAGTTTCACTTTGCACACTCTTGCTATTCGCTACGAAAAGTTACGACACTGCGACAAATCCAATGTAGCTGAATTTCAAAGAAACAAACTAACTACTGTATTTCAATACTTCAAACTTAGTTATATACAATAGTTTATCGGTAGTCCTTTGTGCATTTTTAGTTAATTATTTTTTTGTTTTGTATTTTTTCCTGTCTTGTTATTTGTAAACAGAGAAGAAATTCTGTTCACAAATAACAAAACTGCTATACAATGCTTATATATTCCATTAATTCTTGACGGGTAAGTGCAAGTAATATAGAATTTTTCGCGTGACATTTAGATCCAAACTTACGGTATGAGACTCATTTGAAAGAGATGTCTGCAATACAAGCACAGTACTTCATTCAAATATCCAGATTTTTGTTCAGTAGCGAAGAATCTTGCTAAGTCTAGTTATACACAATGCGGACTTGTATCTAACCAATTCCTGACTGTCTACTTTTAAAATTCTAAGTAGTCAACATACATTTTGTGTAGTAACTTGCTAACGGCATAATTTTTTTATTGTTGATTTATTACTCATTTGAAATATTCTTGTACGTGTTAGTATGTACATGTACAGTACCTGTACATACACACACACATATATATATACACATACATACATAGCCTTCATACCTATAAACCTCTACAGATGCCAGTCCTTTAAGCTAATCATACCTTTCGATGAGCAGATATTTTAGAACAAATTTTTATTCTAAATTTTTATTCTTCATTGTTTTTAATCCTTCTTAAAACGACCATCCCTTTATCCGACCAATGGCCATCTATAGGCTACCGATTATCCCTTTGTGTGAAATGTTCTCTTTGAGGTGACTGGTGAAATCAAAACCATGGACATGTACAATGTTGGGCATGTAGCACTGTTAGTTTAAAAGTTCGGCTCAAGTTTTTTCGATCTTCAACGTCTGTTTTTTTTCTTTTTTTCGGTCCTATCCTACAGAATAAATATAACTTGCTGTAATATCCTCAACAACAAATTAGCCTATGCTTTATTACTTATTTTTATTTAAGTAAGTACAACTAAACCAATGAATTGTGTTTCCATTAATAGGGATAGATTAAAACGTAACAAATGACGAAATATTTTGGTATGATTTGGCTGAATTTTGGAATTCCTTTGGATGAAAGATAGGGCTGTTTGGCCGAATAGAGAAATATTGAAGGCATCGTCTTTTCAAAAAAGTTAGAACAGAAAGCAAATGTCCATTTCAGATTACTTTAAATCAAACATTTAAGACTTTACGCATTACATTTTTATGTACAGTACACAGAATTATATATGATGTGTTAATAAATAAATTTTCTCTCAATGTAGTGTTAATCAATATAGCCTATAATAGTTAATCAATGTATAGTCGTTTTAAAATAGTTTTTGCTGTATTGTTACATAGTATCCTATGAACTGATAATTATTATATATACAATGTATTACTTACTAATGGTTGATATTACTGTTGGACAGTACTTTATACAGTAGGCTACTCTTATCCATTATATATTCGTCACTCCCTTGTCAAAGGACAAATATATAAAGGATTTTAAGATGACTAGTCCTTCTAAGTTTTAGGAATGGCCGTCTTAATTAAAGGGGTTACTGTCCTGAGGAGGTAACTCTTGAGAAGATCGGTTGAGTCGGTCACCGATTACATCCGCGAGTAGTGTCGTTGTCGTCGTCGTGCCGGAGGAATGATACTGAACAGCGAAGGAGTCCAACGGTCAATGTCACGAGTTCCTTTTACAGAAATATACACTGTACAAGGGTTACAATTACATAGACCGTGGAATGTTCGGAGCGTGCGGTGAGGTGAAAGTCCGAACAGGAGTATGTCGAACCACCGCAGTCCCTTAAAACAGCCTACCATTCTTATGGATCTGAACGAACCCGTGATAAGAATGGAGTTTCTCTTAATGCCTACGATTAAAGGTTGGTTGTTGGTTCGTTAATGGAATAAGACAACGTAGCACATGGATAATCTGCTAAAGGGATGCCTCTCGGGAGAACTTTTTACGGGAAAATGGCTTAGACACGTGAAGAAAACCGGAAAACTCCTTATTGTCAGCCCGTCAGCGAGGCGCAAACCTACGACCAGTGTTCAGTGGTTTTATCCACTCGTTCACTTGTGGGCCTACGATTAAATGATCAACAACAAAAATAGTTAAATTTCTCTCTTCTTGAAAAAACAAATAATACTTTTTATTTATTTATGAACACGATAGCTGTTTAAATGGTCGGATATTCACGAAACGTTATAAACGATAACAACGAAACAAAAAATCGAATAAGTAATATTTATTTACTCTTATGTAAGTAGTAAACGTTTGCACGCGATGTCAGTAACAACGATTGATCGATCGAAAATGACAACTGATCATCTTTCTATACAGTCTCAATTAAACCATTAATATAAGGAGGGGAGGTATTTACTGTCCATGATACATCGCCTTGTTGTAAGAAAATAAACGTAATATTCAAATACATGCGAAGAGTAAATATAAGAATGGGAACCGCAAATAACATCAATTATTGATTGTATAGGTCAATACTGTTACAGAAATTACTGAGTAACGTTAAAAATTATTAAAATTTTTTTCATACACTGTAAATCCTTCTGAAATTATATATATATATATATATTTAGTAAAGTTTTTATTATTAATTAAAGTTTAAAACAAGAGGTTGAGGGAAAAAACGTGAAACAATCGATTAAAAAAAGTCAATAATATGCTTGTGTAATGTATCTAATATAATTTTCTTCCTTTTATAAGTAAGATCTGCAAATAAATAATTTTTATAAATTTATTTTAATACACGAATTCGTAAAAAAATGACATTTGAGTTAGGGAAATTTTGGGGATTTAATAAAATTAATAAAATTTGAACGTATTGAAAATTTCAGTAAACTTCAACTGTTATTTTCAATGGAAATCATTTTTCATTGAGAGATTTATTTATTTATTTTTTTGAACTTCAAGCAATCGATAATACTTTATCAAAATAGGATGATAATAAAATTAATCATTAAAACTTAAGAATAATAAATTAACATTATTGAACGCAAAACAAATTTGTAATCGTGATAACATTATTAGTTTTGAATTTCTAGAATCCCGTTTATTCCTTCTTCGGATAATCAATAATATCAATTCCATCGATAAAAACGGTCAATAAATACAATACATTGAGAGAAAAAAAAAATACATAATACAATCATCTTTAATAACTCAATAATTTGCACCCGTAACACATATTTATTTTTTCTATTATAATAAGATTTGTTAATAAATAATATTTACGATTATTTTTAAACGAATAAATAAAAAAATATATATATTCCGCAGGGAATTTTTAGGTTTTAATTAGGGATTTTTCCCCGACTTAGAAGATTCGATTACGTTTAATTTTTGTAAGGAGGGAAGTTCGAATCACTATAATTAAAATATATAATAATTTTTCACCTTCGAAATTAATAACGAACGGTTTTTTCGGTAAGAAGTTTGAAATGAAACGGGAGGAGCAGAATAATAAAATATTAATTATAATTCCGCTCAGCCATCGAAATAATCAAATTATTTATCAAGTTTAAAAATAATTGCAAATATTTCTTATTAAAAGAAAGTTCTATGAAAACAAAAGATTTATTCATGAAATTCTTATTAATCTTAAATAGAATTTATAAGTAATTGTTAACATTTTCTTGTAGATAATGGAGGATAAAGAAGATAAATATATATTCATTGCTGAATGGTATGATAACATATCGGGCTTACTCAGAAAATTCTATTTTACATTTTTTACAATTGATGAAACTATAGAAATGGTGAGTTTATATTCATTTAAGGTTTGTATTTGATTACGTTAAAATGTACACTCACAAAACATGTTGCGGAAAGTAACAGAGTGCTTTCTTGGACAATTTTGGACTTGTAAAATGTAAATCTAAAATTTTCCCATTTTCCTATCTTTTAAGAACGTCTGGAAAGTGAACTGTTTTGTTGCTTTCCCGTTCTACACGTAGGCTGAGTCTGAAGGAGTTTTTATTAAAATGCATTAAGAACTTCCAGAGGTTCGGTTCTCGTCTCCAAATGACGAGAAGATCGTTCGTATATTCGAGGTATAACGGATACGCAGATTATGGTTAGGTGTAACGTGTTTCGAGTGTCGTTCCGTCTAGACGGAGTTTTTCTTGTCGTTATTTAATGCAAAATTGAAAATATGTTTTATATACACAATAACATAGGTAAATGTTTGATTTTGGGTATCTTAAAATCATTGCTCGGGTCGCTATGTGACCGACGGTTCGTGGGTTTGCCGTCGCTTTGGTCTAGGCCTGTTTGGTTTATGTGTATTAGTTCTAGAAAATATTTCATCTTTAATCTTAGCGATTTAACTATTCTGTTTATCTATACCGGTACTTCTTATTATCTATTTAGTGCAAAAACAAAAAATAGATATATTTAAAATCACATTGTATGAATCTTGACAAGAAAACATGACATTCGTTAGAGAAGAGGATATTGTCAAGTTTCAGAACTTTCATTTCACATGTATGGCAGATAATGTTACAGTAAGCTAGATAATGAATTTCATTTTTTCTTGGATAGTTCCTGTAACATAGGAGGAAAGCTTTAATTCTTACTTGAAAATGTGACGTAGAGATAACAACGACATGTTAAGCTCAAGCAACCTTCTTTAGGACTTTAGTTGGACTTTAGCAAATACTTTGCAAGACTAATTTGACTTTTATTCTTCACTTCATGCAGTTTTAGACTTATCAGCAATGCCTTTCCTTTGATCTTGAATCCTTCCTTTGGTTTTAAACTTTGAATAAAGAACAATGATTATTGGCCATAGAGATACAGTACATTAATATACAATATTTTTTTGAAAAACTTATGGAATGCATGTAACAGATTATATTGTAATGAACATTTTAAATGAACGTGTGTTGCTTGAGAAAATAGTACATCATCATTTTTTAAGTTTTGCCAAGGGAGGAAAAAAGACTTAGTTATATAAATTGAGTTATATAAATGGTAACAAAATCAATCCACAAAACCTTTTTATAACAGTGTAGTGTCTGTAATGCTATTCCCTAATGTTTTCGACCTCCACTGAGGTCTTCTTCAGGTGGTGACTAAATGGTGTCTCCTCTTGACCGTTGGAACGATGACACCCGAGATGTAAATAATGTACGTATCGCGTTTCACACCTCCGCTTGTCTCTGCTCGAATTCTTTGAATAAGTATCTCCACGCCTGCGCGATTGTCTCTTCATCTTTAAAGTTGATGCAGATGCCCCCAATGTTGGCTTTATAAATCTCCCAGGCCTCCAGGTGATGGATGTGATCAATCTGAAACACCTGTCTGATTACTTTGGTGTTTTGGAAGTCTGCCCGAATTTCAGGATCGGCAACATAGGCCGACAAGGTGGTGGTGTGCCTGTTATTTTTAGTATCCGATATAAGATTAGAAGTCATTTTGTGTTGGTAACAAAATCATTTGTTTGTAAGGTGTGTGAAGCATGTGACCAAAGAAAAGAGAATTGCTGTGGTTTGTGTCTGTTTGAGTGGATTAACATACACAGAAGTGCCATCAAATCCTTCTGTTCCATAGCCTTCAAGAAATTGTGACACATTGCTTGGTGGGTGACATAGTTCTCCTTTGAGGAGAAAGAGGACTATACCACCCAGCATTTGTACATCCTATGCATGTTTTATGAGTTTGTAATGAAGGATCTCCCACATTTGGAGGCATAGTGAGCACCCTGCTTAGTCTTCTGGTTGATGACAATGACTCTATGTTATTGCAGTTTTTACATTTGAACTGTTTCGTCCATTATGATGGGGCTCTTGGAACATTGTGTATTGTGTACATTAACTGTTCACCTGAATTTGGTAACCAACAGTCTGATATTGGCCCTAGAAGGAGCAGACATCCTGAATTTCGGAGTGAAGTTTGTCTACATTAATTCACTAAAGCATGTGCAAACAACAATAATTCTCTCTTGAATCAACATATTTCACACAACCTGCATACAAATGATTTTGTTACCATTTTCACAAAAATGGATCAAGACTTTTTAATCACCCTATGTTTAAAAATTAAAAACATGCTAATTTTTGACTATTTTATGACACATTAAAGTTGTAAAATTATTTATGGCTTGCCCTGTATATATAAGTTTTTGTAGCCACAGTTTAATATACAAGATCTTAAACTGCAAGTCAGACCCATTATTAATGGGACTGACTCCAGTACTATTTGAAATTTAAACTTAAGTTTAGGCAAGTTTCAGCATACGTACTCACATGGGCATTTGCAGAGGGAGCAAATGGGACATATGCCTCCCTCTGGGATTGAGTAAAATCTTTTAAAAATTACAATCATAAGGTGATTGAGATATATAGCCTTGCAACCTCAACTGTGGGATGCTTTGATGCAATATTACATTCTATAATATACCTGTGGAAAAAAACCCAAAAAGTTAAAAAATTAAATAGAACTTTATTGTTGTAATTATTTGTCTCCAAGCTTTGCCCCTGGAAGATTTTCTGCAGACAATCCACTCTGTAAGCATACTCAAGCATTTTATAGTGAACATATTATTGGTAGTTTGCTAGAATCATATTAGGTTCAAAAATCAAGCAAAATGTCAATCTGAATTTCTCATAAAATTGAATAAAGTTTTAGCTGTTGAAAGAGGTGAATGAGGAAGATTGAATATCATATACTCAAGTATTTGAATGGCATAAGAGATTGAAAGATGGTCAAGAAAATGTTGATGACAAACAGCCAGGACAACTGAGCACACAAAAACAAGAAAATGCTGGATAGAGAATAGGACAAACTGTCAAATAACAATCTACAGATTTTCCCATGTCTCATACTATAAGCAAAATAACTGTTCAGATGATATGTTTAATGTGATTGTTATCCAGTTGCACACACAGATTCAGATGGATGATCCAATCATTCCAAGTACCTTGTGAAATCCTTAGATGACTAATAATGTGTGTTTTGGTAATTAACTTCTCCTGACACATTAAATTAGTCTTGTCACAGAAAAATATGTTTCTGACAAACTGTGGATCAATCTACACTCATAAAACTACATTCATTGATCTGGATCATCTGCAGTAAATATAGTTTATAAGGGTGCCACTTGAAAACACTGAAGATGTAATGAATGCCTCTTTTACTGATCCCAGGTAGAGCAGATGGACAGTACAGATTTATGAGGACTTTTAACAACATGACAAAATTGCCATGCCTATTGTCATTGGTTATGATTTTTGGCCAACTTGAATGCTCTTTGTTGGCTATGGATCCAATTCTATGAAACTCTGCTGTCCATAGTGGTATGTGAAACTGATGCTTGTTCTGGGTGTTTGTGGTTGAACTCCTCTGCCCAATACTGTGCTGGTCATTAGACGATCTCAATGCACTCTTCATGCATCAAGATTGTCTTGAGATGAATAAACCTATTTCATTACATAGTTTGTTTATAGTGCCTGACTTATGGGACACCTTATATAAAGAATTTTGATTAAGCTGAGAGAAAGTTAGAAAAAAAGAAGCTGGATTTTTGGAAGAATGATTGGATTCTCTATCTTGACAATAAACCAGCCCACAATGCACTTTCTGTTAAGAAGTTTTTGTTGACAAATGCATCACAGTGCTTTAATATTCATTCTCTTAGTATTCTTAGTATTATTCACATGATGTAGCTTTCTGTGATTTTTCCTTATTCCCAAAAGTGAAATACCTTAAAAAGAAATAAAAATTTTTATCAGTAGAACAGAATAAAAAGAAAATGACAGATCTACTCAATGTATTGACAAAAGAGTAACTGCAGATTATTTCAAACAATAATAAACAAGAATGTAGCAATACATTGATGAAGGAGGAGAATATATTGAAGGGAGTGAAAATTAAAATGTAATATTTTCAAAATAAAGTATTGTAATTGTATCAGTCTCATTACAGATATTTAATAGCTATGCTTGTATATATTGTAGCATTAAATTGTAGCTCAATACATATATTGTCAGTCTCAGTATGCATTACTGCTTGTCAATAGTTTGTTATACTTTTATTAAATCTGTCATATGACACTGTTATACTTGATATTTTTATCATCATATAAAATATGATAAAAATATCAAGAGGCAAGAGAACTCTGCAAAATTTTCATTTTAGAAATATGTAACTTACATATAATTAATTTAAATAATTATTTATTAATTATCTTTATATATTTTAGTATGATATGATCAACAAAAGACTGTTTCTAAGACGAACTCCATGTTCAACAGTTAGACAATCTGACATATATCTTGGAAGTATACTTAATGTGATGTCAAGACAGATAAAGTTAGTTGATTATGCCAATTTAGCAACCAGACAAAAACTTGACACTGCAATAGAAAGGTAAGAATTTTATTCTTTTTTTTCCCCATTTAAATAATTTATTCTCAAACCATGCTACATAATTGTAAAACAGAATTGTGAAGGTATTATAAGTAATCATAAATAATTAAAAATTTTTACAAAAATTCACCAAATAATTTGCCCCTTACTCTGTAGACATGAATTATTTTTTATTTTTTCTTGTTATATTTCATAATTACATATAAAAAAATATAACAAGTATACATTTCAAAGTTATTAAACAATTTATTTTACTTCAAATTTAAAAATACATTAAAATTTGTTTGATTATAAAATTTATCATAATTTAAACATTTCTAATTTTAATTTTTAAATTAACTTTATTATGTTTATACACTACATCATTCAACATATGTGGCTATATAAAATAGAAAATCAAAAATCTAACTTGACTGACAAAAAAAAAAAAAAAANTTATTTATAGAACTAATGAAATCTTACAATGTATACATAATAAATGGTCGATACTCTTTTGAATCACCAGCAGACTTCACCTACACATCCAAACTGGATGCTTCAGTAATTGATTTAGTGATTTTGAGCATGAGTCTGGTAGAGAGTTTGCATAAATTTTTATTTCTGAAGATTGTCTGACCATCATTTGGTAATTTCTGAAATCCTGATAGACACTGATGAGGATAGAAAATCTAACTTGATTGACAAGAAAAAAGGACTAATCTGGAAAGAAGACAAATCCAGTGTATATTCTGAAACTGTTTTGGCTAAATATGTAAATATTGTCTTAAGTGATGGAATAGAGCAGTGTTTCTTAACGGGGGGCTGTGGCCCCCTGGGGGTCCATAAGAAGTTTGCTGGGGCTGCCAAATTATGCAAAATTGAGGCTATGAAAATGAAATTACAAAGATGGATCCAAAGAATAGATTCAAATATATTTGAAATGTTTTCATTCTATTCACAATTAATCTCTGATTCAGAATTTCAATTTGAGAAACAAAATGTAAATTTCTTAATTAAATGTCACCTTTTAAAATTAATTGATAAATTTGATAAAAATTTTCCTAATGATGAAGTTCACATTACAAAACTGTGGATTCAAGATCCATGCAACAATTATAAAAATACCAATTTATCACCCAGCTAATGAAGATACATTATTAGAATTAATAAATAATTGTAATTTGAGATCTGTTTTTTAAACTAAAAGTGTGTCCCAATTTTGGATACAAATTTGTGCAGAATATCCTCCCCTGTTTTCAGCAGCAATGCAAAATTTGCTGCCTTTCGCTAGTACATATTTGTGTGAAAAAGGGTTCTCAACTATGGTGGATATAAAAACAAAAAAAAGACAATCCATTGCGATTAGATGTCTGCATGCGGATAGCATTACAAACAATTGAACCAATAATTAATAAATTAGTTGAGGATATCTCATTAAATTATTTGAGCAGCAGAAATCTCATTAAATTATTTTTGAATATTTTTTGTTTTTTCTATGAATTTTTAAATGTTTCTTATTTTATTTTTTGTTAAAATTAACGAGTTTTTATGTTTAATTGTGAAGTTCGAATGTTATTTAAATAGATAATCTATGCTAATATTATAAAGAGAGAAAGTTTGTAAGTTTGGATGTAGGAGGTAATCTCCGAAACTACTCATCCAATTTCAAAAATTCTTTCACCAATATTTAGAATGGACCTTCAGGGTGGACATAGGCTGTATATTATTCCGTTAAACACTCATATAAATTAAAAGATATCATCTAGGATTAAGGCTTATATGTCCAACAGATGGTGCTAAGTCCGCAAGTATGACGATCTAAGTTTGCTTCTCTGTGAGGCATTATGCTTTTCTGTGAGGATGAACTAAAGCAGATCATCTTCTATCTATCTATATAAATAAAAATGTAATGTTCGTTTGTTTCTACCGATTCCTTTGAAATTTTGACACAACGTTACATTCGAATACTCATATGTTTTTATATAATATACATGTCGAAATTCCCCCCACTGAGGGGAGATGGACAGGATCTTACCGTGAAGGAACTGCTTCTATTTATGCTATTTTAGATGTGGTTTTTTGCGTTTTTGATTGCGTTTTAATAGGGTATGTCAATAGAATATACACTAAAAAAAAGATTTTTTGATATTCCCCCAAAATGTATCTATTATACATTTATAAATAGATATATTTTGAGCCACAACAACACATGGCGGGGTCTGCTAGTGAAATAATAAAGTTATGTTTTACATTTATTATATAAAAAAATAAAGCAATAATAAAAAAATCAATTTATTATAGATAATTCAACAAATATAAATTATTATTAAAAAAATGGGGGTCACAAAAAAATTATGAAATATTTGGTGAGCCGCGAGTATAAAAAGATTAAGAACCATTGGAATAGAGGACAGATATTCTGCGATTCTGGATTTGATTAAGTTATCAGCTGAACAATGTAGAATGATAACATACCTGGGAATGACAAAATTACCATCTTCAGTTTGGTTTGACAGAGACTGTAGAACAGCAAAGACACTAAAGAACAGGACACTGAGGAAATTTCGGATATCCCATAATAATGAAGATTTAATAAAATATTCTGATTTTAAAGCAATCTTTCATTCATTGTGCAAGACTAAAAACAAGAATTACTGGTCAAATATCAGTAGACAGTTGCAGTCTGCATGATCTTTTATACAATTTTGGTCTATTAATAGATTTAATAGGGGAAAAAATCCAATAATAAAATTCCTCTTCATGACTGGAACGTTTTTTACAATATAACTTTTGCCATTCAAGTTCTGACTCAATTTTGATTTTGACCATGATAATGTCTCTCTTATTTTAGATAATCCAATTTCACTCTCTGAGTTAAAAACTTCAATTCGCAAACTTAAAAGAAAATCAGCCCCTTGTATGGATGGTATAAAAACTGAATTTATTATACACCTATCTGATGAAAGGTGTTTAGAATTACTCAAACTCTTTAACAAGATTAAGGAAACATCAAAATTTCCTGAGCATTGGAAAAATGTGTTGTTGCAAATGATTTACAAGAAAGGAGACAAACTAAATCCTCAAAACTATCGTCCAGTAGCGTTGTTAAATACCTTTAGAAAATTGTTCACAAGAATTTTGGCAGATTGGTTGAATCAATGGATAATAGAATTTAATGTTATCTCCCATTTTCAAGGAGCATTTGTTAGAGGAAGAGGTACTATGTACAACTATGTATATATATACCTAATGGTTTAATATAGTATGTCCTGTCAAGAAAAAGACGTAAAATCTATTTGATATTTGTGGATTTGGAAAAGGCTTTTGATAGAATCAATTTTTATATTTTATAGGAAAAGTTACATTTATTAGGAGTTTCAATTTCGTTCATTAAGCTGCTTAAAAATTTATTTTGTAACACAAGGCACAAGGTATCATGTGAGAGGCAATCTGGCAAATACTGAGGGTGTCATTTCTGGTGGAGGTTTGCCTCAGGGGGAACCTTTAAGCCCCCTGTTGTTTATATTATTTATTAATGATTTACTGCAATTGTTTTCTACCTATGAAACTTCGGGATTTGCTCTTGGAGAATCTGTTGACCTGCATTGCTTAATGTATGCTGATGATATAGTTCTGTTGGCAGATTCAAAAATGGGTTTACAATGAAAACTTTCTCTGCTAGTTAATTATGCAAAAAGAAATGATCTTACAGTTAACTTACAAAAAACAAAGGGAATGGTTTTTCACAATGGAGGCAGACTACTAAAATCTGATAAGATATTTGTGAGTAATACTGAAATTAGTTTTGTGTCATATTTTAAGTATCTAGGAATACGTTTTTCTTCTTCTGGTGCATATAATCATCATTTCGATTTAATAGCCAAAGACATACAGAAGACAAGCTTTATTCTTACTCTATAAAAACAAATGAGGCTAAGTTCTATGAGGAGTATCTTTAAACTTTTTGATGCTTTTATTGGTTCTAAGATGACTTATTTATTTCCAGTCTGAGGACTGGAGTTTCTGTCTAAACTAGAAAAAGTACAGATGAAATATTTTAAGAGACGTTTTAAAACAGAATGTTCAGTTTTAAGCTCTGCAGTTTGTCTTGAATTGAGAAGACTTCCATTGGAATTGAAATTTGTCAAGGCTATTCTTCTGTTTTGGTCAAAAGTTATGGAGTTACCCTCATACGATTTGTGCCAAATTACTTATAATGTTTTCTTAACAGCAGTCAAACCTGATAAGAAAAGTTGGCCTGCTTAAGTTAAGAATATTTTTGATAGCTTGGGTTACTCTTTTTTGTTTTCAACTCGATCAGCTTCATTGTTGAGAACTCACTTAAATGCAATAATTCAAACTAGGTCAGACCACCTGTGGAATCAGGATATATCCTCTACTTCAGCTAAACAAGTTAATTTGTTTGAAATGTACTTGGGTTGGTGTACAGCAAACTACTTAAACCGTGAGACTAATTTTTCCACAAAAAGCCTCATTGTACAACTTAGACTTAATAAATTTCGGATTCTGTTAAAGGGCTACCAGATAAATATATCAAGAGAAAAGTTTTTTAGTTATTGTGGTAGTAAAGAGGAAGAGATTCTCTTAATTCACTTGTTTGGTTCTTGTCAAGTGATATATCAACTAAAATGTTTTGTACTAGGAGAAGATTTCAAGTATAATCATTTGAAAAATGAGGACATGTCAAAAATTACTTTATTTAAGATTTTTTCCTTCTTTTCTATATCTTTAGAATTTTTGAAATAATTTAGTACTATGTATATTAAATAACATTGTATAACCAAATTGTTTCCCCATTGTAAGAAATAATTTAAATCAATAAACATTAAATCTAAATCTAAAATAGAAAATCAAATTGAGTTTGTTGAAAATGTTTATATTCTAATGTTTTAAAAACAAAAAATCCAATCTAATTCAAATAGCAAGTTATTTAAAGGAAATGTTTTTGATCACTTTTAGTAATTGCTATTGGATTCCAAAAGATTCTGATTAAACAACATATTTAAATAATATTTCATAAATTTAAATATGACGCAATCAAACAATAAAAGATTAAAAAATTGAAAATAAAGTAATATATAAGTACAGTACATTAGAACTGTTACAAAATATAGTCAATTACATTTTTAACAAAAAAAAAAAAAAACAACTTCAGTATTAACTTATTTCCTTAATTTGCTCCTCCAGAGTTTATATTTTCTAACACTTTTGGATTCCTGTTACTCATCATTAGGAACATTCACAGTAAATGCCAAAAACCAAACTTTCAAAAAATATCAATTCATGTGAGAGAAAAGCAGCCAAAACCAAATACATTTCCATTCAAAATAAAGATGTTTAAACTCATTCTCTTAATGTAAATTACTTTGCTCACTTCTAGTTTAAAAAATTTTTTTTGGCCAATGATCATTTTTATTACTTTTCTGAGTCTTATTTCTCAGATCCTACCACCACTCTTACTCCAACCTCTACTTTCATAACTTCTCTTTTTTCTCTCCCAATCTGTAATCTTTCACATATACTTGGTAAACTTTTACAGCAATTAGTATTAATAATAGGTTTTTCAAAATTTCTTTCAAAAACTCATATCTTTTTCACTCAATTGACGTTTTTTCCTCTTTTAACTCTTCTACCATTCTTGCTTCTTCATACTTAATTTGTAAAATTCTGTCATATCTTTTCTGCATCAAAGCCATCATGTTTTCTGCTCTTGAGTTCCTTTTTCTTTTGTGTTCTCTCAACCTTTCCACAAGGGACTTTTTTATTATTTCAATGTACATTTTTTTAAATTAAAAGGCACACTATAAACTTCAATTTTTCACTATCTTCTTTTATCTCTTTTTCCTTGCTTAGGGCATTAAAAATCATTATATTTCTTTCAAATGAAATTTTTTTATCCATTTCATTCTCTTCCCTTTTCATACTCTTCCTCATCTATCTACAAAGTGCATGACTATTCTTTAAATGCATTCTATTCTTCTTCTAACCTTATCCTTCTCCTCAATTTTTCATTACATTTTCCCACAGTTCTTCCAAATAAAGTTGTATTCATTCTATTCTCCTTCACTATATCTTCAATCTTTCCTCAGTGGATCTTTCTTGCTAGTATAAAAGCCCATAGTTTTCAAATCATATAAGCACTCACCTCCCTGTTTCACAACCACTTCATATATATCATATTTGTTCTGTCAGTTCTCTTATTATTTACTTAAGATTCAAAGAAAGCATACTTTTAATCTTAATGATTCAAAATCTTAGTGCCTGTTATTCACTAGAGCTCTAAACACTGCTTTCTTATATTCCAAAGGTTCCTTGAATTCATACACACATATACAGGTTTAAAGATTTCTTTCTTGTTTATCTGAATCTTAACTCTATTTCCCATTCTTTCTACTCACATACATGGTTTGTTCTAAAAGTACTCAAACTTTTGTTTTTTAAATATTTTGGGCTTATGTATAATTTATTGAGCTTTGTCTCCCTTGAAAGTAGTCTATCCTTAAATTTTGTAAATTCTAAAAATAAATAAGATTATTTCCAGATTAAAAACAAGCAAAATTACTCTTTCTTATCTGACTTCTTCAAGTGATTCAGTTAAGCAGACAAACAAATAACGAAGAAATACTAAACTTAAACTTCCTTATTTGTTTGTCTGCTTAACTGAATCACTCGAAGTCAGATAAGAAAGAGTAATTTTACTTGTTTTTAATCTGGAAATAATCTTATTTATTTTTAGAATTTACAAAATTTAAGAGTATTACTGATCCCATTGTTTTAAATTTTACAAATATATTTAGTCTATCCTTGGTCAATACATCTTCCAATGATATTTCTACTTCTGAAAGCAGTCCTGGAACATATTTTCCATGATTGCATGAAGCTGTTTGCAAATTTTATTTTATTTCTCCTATCATGTAGAATTTTTATCTTTTTAATGTGAATGTCAGCTTTAGAAGTAAAAAAGTCTGTATTGAATAAAGTGGAAACATATGGAGGATGAGGAAGCATAGCCATCTTATTTTTTGCACAAAACTCATGAATTGTAATCACTGCATACTTGGGCACATTATCGTGGTAGAGAAACCATTTTAAAAGTACCAAAGTACCTCCTAATATATTTTCAGAGTCATTTGAGCACTTAAAGATAGTAGTATCAACTTACTCTTTGTTCTGTTGGCAGAAATTCATGACGAATGACACTCTGTAGTTATTATCATACAAAACTGTGCACTGAACAGAGAGTTTGCATTTGAAACATTGATACAGTTACTATTCAATTCTAGTTTAAAGATTTCTAGCATCTCTAAATATTAGTTAAATGCAGATCATTTGTCATTCTGATAAACATGGCTTGAAATGCCATAGGACTTCAATATCTTGTTATTGATGCCATAGGTCTTCATTATCTAATATCTAGAATATGAATTGTGGTTCATATTATATTGATACTCCTTAATTATTTGCACCAATGTTCTTAATATCATTTCAATATAAACAGACTGAGTTTCAAATCTAGGATCTTTTATTGATATAGAACAAACACTTGCTCCATCTTATTTGCCTAATGAGTCTTTATCATTGTTAAATCAACTAGTATTCAGTCAGGTTTTGTTTTACAAAATTAAAATTTTACAGTAAAACAAATAGCAATGTCAGAATAAATTTGGCTAATACATAGACTGACAATAAATACTGTTGTTTAGCTCTGTCATAGTTGTACCATTGTTTTACTAAAATTTTCACTTTTGTCCCAGTTTTTTGAAATCAAAAAACTTAGCTCTAGTTTGTATATTAAGCATACATTGTATATTGTATTTTGAACTCATGATTTGTTTGAAAATATTTATTTTGCATTGATAAGGGTCATAAATTTCAGTGAATACTACTGAGGATCAAATGGCATGAAATATAGCTTACAAAATAGTTTCAATTAATTTAAGGAACATATTACATAAAAATAAAGAGACGAAATTCAACAATTTGCTGTTGTCTGAAGCAGTTTTGTGTTTCTAAGCTTAAAATACTTTAAGAAAAGGAAAACAGATTACCTGAAACTCTCTGGAAAATGTTTTCCTAAGTGAAAATAAATAAGGAAAGTCTTTGCAGGTGAACTTATGTAATAGAATAATATTCCTAAGTGTAAATATTAAACTAAAGCCTTTATTCAAATAAGAAAATTTTAAGAAACAGAATATTTTGATTTTTGTAATTTTGCTAAATACATTCTTTGATATTTCACAGTGATAATTATCTAGAAAATAGATTATTCAGACAATTTTGTTTTGGATATGTAAATGCAGAATAAATTTTCATTCTTTATGCTGTTTGTGAGGTTTATTATGCATTATATCTTGAAAATTATTTATATTTTTAAAATTATAATCAAATGCAATACAATTATTAATTGTCAAGTTTTCTATCAATGGAGTATTCCTCAACATCTGATTCAGCATTCTCAAGCATCTCAAGCATCCTAGAATATCGTAATTACTAACAACAATTTAAGATAAACAATACTGTTAATAAGTGATCTTCCATTTAATTCGAAATGAAGTAATTTTTAAACATATTTTCAATTAAATTATGTAACAATTAATCAAATTTTTATTATACATAAAAATATAGTTAATCAGGCCCTACTGCACCTACTGTATCCTAATTACTAGCTCTAATTCGGGTTTTTAAACACAGAAATCGAATGTACACGTCGTCACAATGCCGGGATGTAATTTTTAAACATATTTTAATTAAAAAAAAAAATAACCTGANTTACTCATATATATAATTGCATCAGTTTATATTAAAAATTAGATAAAAATTATTTTTCAGAACATTTGGTTTATTGAAGTTTCCTGCCCTTCAAAAACTTGGTTACATAATGGATATTATATATAGAAATGATCTCACAATAAGTAATGCCAGAATGCTGTATCTTTCTGAAAATGAATCAAGAGTTTTATTGAAAGAAAATGAGAAGGAAATACAATATAGGTAATTCATTTTATGGTTTGATTTTGTTTGAAAATCTATATTAATTACTATTATTATTTTTATTTTAACATTACAGATATATTATTCAAATAAACAAAAATTATTCTTAAAATTTAAAATTAATATTTTAGTTTGTACTTAATAATGAATAATTTAGAATAATTGATTGAATTTGAAAATAACAAAAGATATGCATTAGATGATATATTATTGAAATCAAAACTGTGTGTCCAACTTTAGTGCACATTTGTAAATTTTCGTCCGAATGGCAAAGTTTATGAAGACAAAGTCTATCCAAAAAAGAAACCACCAAGGAAATTCTTGTAATTTTAATTGGATATATTTTTTTGTTTTTAAAAGGACTTTTTTTAACTTCTGGCAACCAGTAGCCTAAAAAGAAAGGTCAGTCGCCAAGAAAGTGTAATCTGGAACACGAGATAAATAAATGGTGGTTCCTTTTTTGACCAGACTTTGTCTTTAGTGCACATATTTATTCAAATTGCGATTGATGGAATATTAGCATTCTGGATTATTAATGAAAATTTTCTGATTATCAGCTATTTTTCAGAGGGTGTCAGATTACTTGGTGCCAGATTAAAGAACTTCTACAGTAAAATATATAGTATCATTACAGCATTTTCATTTCTGTCTACTGCATACTAAAGAAAATACAGTTTATATACAATTTCTAATAGGGATACTAAATGAGCTTATTTATTGCATTACTGCTACAAAAATGTCATTTTATAATTGTTTGTTAATAAGATAATTGGTATTTATAATGTTTAATAACATAATAAAATCATGGGCTGATAGGTAAGTAGATGTTTTAGTGTCATTTGAAGAAATTGAATTTATTTTGATGAACTGGGAATAAGCTAGAATTGTTCCCATAATAAGTAATTAAAAACTTCCAATGTTCAATTTCTATATCCATCATTTTACCATTACAGTAATACCTCGACTTACGTTACCCCGACTTATGCGAACCTGGAGTTACACGATTATCAAATCTCGTTGATTCTTCTTTTATTTGAGCACCACGCAACTCTTGATTACTGATTACTCACTCCCCTCACACTATTGTTCAGCTTACATGTTCAGACGTGTTGTGCGGAATCTACACATAGCTACAATTTATTTTGTGTTATTTATTTCTGTGTTTGTTATATCTACGGAGAGTTGAGAGACTGTATGTAGTGATTTCTTGTAACCGTGAATGAATCAAATAACGAGATAAGATTAATGAGAACATTTATTAGCTTACATACATCCGACTTGGATTTTACACAAATTGCGAAATTATACCTCGACTTACGCAGTTATTGCTCAGTCCCACCTATCATGTAAGTTCGGGGTATTACTGTATAATTATTTTTGGAATGCTTTAGATTGAGATAATAAGTGACTGTCTTGATTTCAATTATATATTAGTGCTATTGTGAGAATCGTTGAATGGTTTAAGCATCAAAGCTTAAACCATTTTCTAATGATGGGAAGGTGAGTCCTGCTCATGGGGTCAGTAGATGGCAATTTAGGAGGGCAAAAATTGAGTGGGAGGTTATGGATAAGTCGATGAGGTGTCGGTGGCGTACGAGTAATCACTCTCACTTAAATTATCAAATAGTTTAATAAGAACCTTAACTAAATGGTTACATATTATAGTTCAAAGAGAAATAAAAAATAGGCTGTTAGAAGGGTGATGTCAGCATTCACGATATCTAAGGGATCTAATCCCTTTTTATCCTCAGAATTAATCTAATTACTCTCAGTCAATTGAGGAAGAGAGAGAGAGATCTTATGTAAATAAATACAAATTTACCTCGNAATAGGCTGTTAGAAGGGTGATGTCAGCATTCACGACATCTAAGGGATCTAATCCCTTTTTATCCTCAGAATTAATCTAATTACTCTCAGTCAATTGAGGAAGAGAGAGAGAGATCTTATGTAAATAAATACAAATTTACCTCGCTAGTCGTCATTGTCTGTGTTTCGTAGAGTGGACGGAGTTGATGGTGTTGACCAGCCATTGTCTGTTGTTCGGACATCCCCCTGACAATTGGGTGCGAGCCCTTTTTATACTAATTTTGAGGAATGAGAACTGTCAAATAGTTGATGATTTATAAGGACACCTGTTAGCTTTACCTGATCTAGATCCAGCTGATATGGAACATTGCCAGATTGTTGACATTGGTCAACTACAGGTGAAATTTTATGATATAAATTCCTATGAATTTGACAGTTCTCTCCCATTAATTATTGTATATTTTGACAATATCTTCTCAGATTTGACAACAATCTCTAGATTATTTGTATTAAATATTGTATTAGTCAATGAGAGAGGCAATTATTATCATGTTGTTTTGGTTATCGTGCAGGTGTCTGCAGACATGTGCCACATGCAGCTAAGGGAGGGATGAGAAACGCCGCTTATTAGTTTCTTTTAAATGTCTGTTCTTGCCTTGTTGATTTTATCGTTGATCAAATCTATCAGAATAGACTGTGACATTTAACCCGAGGAGAGAGTTTCGATCGTTGATTGTAGACTATCCCTTTTTTCTGTAGAATTACTAGGGTTAGGAGGAGAACAATACTGATTTAAACAATACAAAAAAGGGGGAGCAGAATATCACACTATTTTTTCTCTTATAACAACTTGATTAAATTAATTAATGAAATAAATCTAATTCTGATGAAAATTGCTTTAATTAGATATACAAAGGACTGACTAGTTTTGTATAACATTGAATTCTGGGAAGTTCTTGAATAATGAAATATAAATAATTGAACTATTCAATAACAAACAAAAATTAGAAAGAAAAGAATCGAAAGATCTGTTTATGTTTTAATGAAATCTGTTTAAAGAATCAATGCTTTTTGATTGTGTTGATCATATAAAAATTAAAATAAAACACATGCGATGATAGATGAAATTAAAACTAGATATGAAATTCAGTTTTGATATGTATAAACTAAATTATTTTACTGACAATAAGTGAGAAAAATTGAACTGATTAATCGTCATCGTATGAAATAAAGTTTCCTACTCTGAGTTGCATAAGCTGAAATATTTTGTGAATTTTTCAGCATGGAAAGTTGCTGGAAAAAGCAATGATTCTATTTAATTTAATTTACTTTCCAAAATGTATGTAGATAGATAAGATACACTGACAAAATAAAAGATTTTACCCAATAATCTAGAAAAACAGAAATTGATCAGAAAAGATTAAAAAAAAAAAGTTTCTCTGATAAAAAGGGTAAAAGTAAAGAATGCAATAATGTTTCTTCTAGTGATATATGAAAGCAAAATTTTTCTCAAAGAGAAGAGAAAATAGAAAAAGCGAGCGATAAGAAATGGATTTCTTTGAGTTAGAGATCTGTGGAACAGACATAGATCTATAGAAGATAACATAAATTGAAGAAAAAATTAGTCCATCTATTTTGGATCTAGAATTCTATTGCTTCTTGTAGACTATTTGCGATCAGAAACTGCAATATTTTGNTATTTTTTTGATTTGTTTTTTGAAACCGTGTCCTGTTTTATATTTGTGGCGTAATAAACACTAGTATTGTGTTTTATTCCAAAGACACAATACTAGTAAATAAAGCCCGAAACGAGTACAAAACAATGTACCGTATCAACTAATAAAGGAATTTGATGGAAAATTTGCCATGTGTCTTTGGAATAAAACACAATACTAGTGTTTATTACGCCAAAAATTCTTCTGTTTTGTTGAAACATGCTTTGTTTATATATTCAATTTCATGCTGAATGTCAAAATAAGCGGAATAGGGTTTTTATCGTCACTTTAATAAAAAATATTGCCAAGTGGTAATTTTGATGGATATGCAGTGTGGCCCTTGCTTAATGTGTAACTTTACAAATTTTTTAACTTGTTCTTTCATTACAATCCTATTGTTTCAATTTTTAAAATAGACTTTGTTTGAGATGAACATAAGTATTACCTGTTAATTGGGCAACAACATAAAAGATAATTTATTATTTAAAATTAGCCCTATAATTTAATAAATTGTTATAATAATTATACAAAATTAAATTATTGATTTCATATTTTATTTTAAAAATTAACATAGGATTATTCTTAGTTTATAATTGATGAATGAAATAAAATGATTAGTCTCTTAACAGATGATCCAAAACCTAATTAGAAAGTTTAAGGCTTTAGTGCAACTAAAAGGTAAGGTATACAAATGTTCAGGGTATCCTGAAATATCATTCAAATCATCTGAAGCCATTTTTTTTTATAATGTGATTGAGATGTTTACTCTCAGCTTCAACAATCTTTCCATCATGGGAAGCACCATAAAGGAGAATTGACTAGCATATACTGTACTTTCCGGCGTATAAGATGACCCCCGACTTTTACAGTTAAAATATAGAGTTTGGGATATACTCGCTGTATAAGACTATCCCAGCCAGCCCTCATATTCTATTACTGTACCTCCTTCTCTGCCTCTCAGATCTTGCACATGTGTGCCTGCGCCACTTCATTGCAGTCCTCAGGAGCGAGATCTGAGAGGCAGAGAAAGAGGTACGGTAATAGGATATATACAAGGGCGGGCCAGACGGGTGAAAGATGCGTGTTTTTCTGGACACAGCACCGCTCTATCTCTATCCATACCCCAGGCGTCCCGACCAACTGCAGCACCTGCCCTATAAGATGACACCCGGCGTATAAGACGACCCCCACTTTTGAGAAGATTTTTCTGGGTTAAAAAGTCGTCTTATATGCTGGAAAATATGGTATATTGATCTGAACTATTGATATTCATTTTTGTGGAAATATGATGAGAATTGAATATACCAAACTAAAGACTAGAAGAACTTGATTCATCTATTGAGTGTGAACTCTGCTAGTCCAAGAAATGTTCTTCAATATGTGATGTAAAATTTTTTGGGTTAAGATTGAGAGCAAACTTATTGAACACATTTTAATGTAAATATCTTTGAACATTGATTTGGAATGATATTTGAGTAAGATTTGTGTACTTCATTGTTTAGTATAATAAAACATTAAGCTTGTAGTTAGGTTTTAAGTCATCCTCCATTGCATCATTATATATACAAGTTGACCCCCCTATAACACTGTTGATTTTTCTATTTTATGTGAATTCCATGTTGTACGAGTCACTTAGATTTTACAAATATATGAGGTGTTCACAGCCCGGCACACATATTTGTAAAATCTAAGTGACTCGTACAACATGGAATTCATATAAAACGGAATATTCAACAGTGTTATAGGGGATCGACTGTATAATGAATGATATGATTAATTAAATTATACAAGTATATATAATTGATTTGTATTGAAAATTATTTATGACATACTTTTATCAAAATTACTTGTTCAGTTTTTGCATTCTAACTGATATAACTTTTCTAATTTTGGATTTTAATTTTTCTAATTCTGAAATATTAAATTTATGAAATTTCTTATTAATAATTGAAAGACTGAATGCAACTGTGGTCTAATCCTTTCTGATTCAAACTTGAGTTAATAGTGTCATACTTTCATGTGTTAAAAATATATTATCTCTAAATAGAATGAGATTACTTGGATTATAATTAAGTATTGATGAAAACAAAACAAATAAAACAGCAAAATATGAAANCGTTATTTGTTTGTCTGCTAAAATAAATCACTCGAAGTCGGATAAGAGAGAGTAGTTTTACTTGGTTTTAATCTAGAAATTATTTTATTAAGTTTTAGAATTTACAACAAAATTTTTTATGTCTCAATATTGTTGTATACCTTAGTGGCAATTATTGCACTTTTCACATTCCTTTATTCAAGATTAAAAATTTTTTTTTTTGGAATTTATAAGATATGTGATCTGTTTGAATGTTCCCAGAGACATTTTATCCTATCTCAAAATACTGTATTTTACTAATGTATTAAAGTTGAAGTGTAGAAAAAAGCTAACAATTTGACTACAGTGGTTAATATCTACTTACAACAATATATTGATTTTTTTTCTCCTTTCTGCTTATGAGATGAGACTGTCTTTTATTCACTGCATTTAAATAATTTTGCAATTTAAATACAGCAACATATGAAATATTGATGCATTCTTCAACTATGCTAATTTTTAACTTTATCTACTAACTGCATTAAATCAGGTATTAATTATTGCAAAAAGAGATTTTAAAGAATTTAACGTTATTATTAAATATGCTATTTAATTGTTTACAATGTAATAATTATAATAAATTTTCTAAATCAATCTTGTTATTTTTTTTTATATCTCAGTTTTATAAGAGCTGTTCATAGGCCAAATCAATTAACTCCATTAGTGTAACCTTGAAATAATCATTATTATTTTTATATTTGCATAACCATATAAAATTGGTTTATAAATATTAAACTATGAATTAATGTAATGACCCAAAAAGTACATTCTACAATGTTTATTTAAATTTAAAATCAAAAAGGAATTTTAAAAAATTACATATATTATCAATTTCTCTACTTTTTATTTTGTGGAATTAATCAATTTATCAAATGAGAGATTCATATTTGTTTAAAATTATTAGTATTATACATATATAAATATCCAAACCCAATAGTTATACAGGGCGAGAAAGAAAATCACTTAACATTCTTTCTACAGAATATAGAATGTACTGTACTCAAAGTTAATTCGTTCATGTCAGGAACACATTAGACCAAGGGGGAAATAGATTGATGTGTTACGCACATGGACATCATCTTGATGACAACCATATTGAATGCAACTCTGAAACTGTAAATGGAAAGTGGTAATGTGATATATCATTTAGGGTCAAAATTTGCTGAAAGATTGTAACCATTTGAGATAGATCAATAAAGAGTTAAGCACATTACATGATGTGCTCAATGTACATTCTTTGGGAACATTCTATATTCTGCAGCAGGGGTGTTAAGTGACTTTCTTTCCCACCCTGTACATTAAAGCCAAATGATTGCCAAATTATATCAGGTTATATTACTACTATTATTATTATTATTATTTAAATGCTAAGTGATTTGGCACTAGAGGTAGGCATTAGGTGCAATCTCTTACTAAATTTAATAATTTTAATTAAATTAATATTTTAATAATTAATTTTGAAGGTTCTGGAAGAAAAGAATAGGCCAAAGCAGAACTTGAATCCCAATTCCAGCTTACTGTGTGGTCACATTGCCAGTTACGCTACCCAAAGCATCTTATCCTCATTTCCAGAACCTATTATTTTAGACGTAACCATACTTGCTTACTTACAACTCAGTTCCTATGGCCTATAACTCTCACTAGGCATATCTGTAACATTATAATAGCTGGTTATCACTTCTACTTCAGCATGGTATATGTACACACACACACCACAATGTTTATATTTGAGAGTTACAGGTTCAAGTCCCATTTTGGGCTGATTCTTTTCTTCCAGTAATTCTAAAATAATTATTTAAATTATTTAATTAATTTATAATTATTAAATTTATCAAGAGATAACGCCTAGTGCTTAACTCTAATGCCAAATTGTCTATTAAATTATTAGTATTATAGCCATTTCTAGCCTGATAATATTCAGCTTTGGTTGATGTATATTAAATCTTTATTACAGTTTTTATAAATTATACAAAGATAACTCTTTCTTAAAAGAATTTATAATTTACAGAATAACAGAATTGCTTTTTGTTTATTTATTAATCAGACTGAAGATCAGATTGATTATTTATCATTTTAGATGAATATATTTATATATATAATTCAATTGATAGAATTTTTTAAATGCTAAAAAGATATTAACACCAAAAAAAGTTTGAAAGTGTTTTTAATCAAAAGTTAATCAGTGTAAAATCCATTACATTAAAGATAGATATGTTTTAAAGGAATTTTTAAAAGTCTAAAAAGCATTTAAAAGTTTTTACAAAATTTATTATTTCAAAATAAATATCAATGTAAGATTTACAGAATATATTTGACTTAGGTAAGATTAATATAACTAAATCTATATATTAGACAGAGTTAGATAACCTAATAAATAGGATTTAACAATTTGGAGGGCTTATCACACCTAGGCTGACAGAAAGAAGGACCAGAACGTTTACAAAAAAGTTAGTCTTTAATAATCACATTTCAAATTTAGGTAAAGGATGCATTTCGGATAAGCCCTCCAATTGTTAAATCCTATTTATTAGGTTATCTAACTCTCTAATTTATAGTTGTGGGCTAAAAGCGTTGTTTATTATTAAATCTATATTTATATGAACTTCCTTGGAAAATAAAAAGATTTGGCTAGTTTTAGGCACTATTAATACTAGTTTTTGAGTGCAAGAGCATGAAGAGAAAGAAAATATGCAAGCTATATATGTAAGGTTCTTTAAATTCATCTAAAAACATGCTATTTAAAAAACATATTTAATTTTATTGAATTCTTGTTTATATATTCAATTCTAAATACCCATTTTGTTTATGTTTTGAATTATTGATATATATTTTACACTTTATTGATTTGTTTTAAAATAAATATTTTAGAAATAGTTCCACAAGTGACAAAGCACATACCTCACATAAAATTAAATGTGATGAAGCCTTTTTACAAGAATTTTTGTACAATTTTTGTACATTTAATATTTTATGGATCTGTGTTTATCCATTATACAAGTATATATAATTGATTTGTATTGAAAATTATTTATGACATACTTTTATCAAAATTACTTGTTCAGTTTTTGCATTCTAACTGATATAACTTTTCTAATTTTGGATTTTAATTTTTCTAATTCTGAAATATTAAATTTATGAAATTTCTTATTAATAATTGAAAGACTGAATGCAACTGTGGTCTAATCCTTTCTGATTCAAACTTGAGTTAATAGTGTCATACTTTCATGTGTTAAAAATATATTATCTCTAAATAGAATGAGATTACTTGGATTATAATTAAGTATTGATGAAAACAAAACAAATAAAACAGCAAAATATGAAAAAAACTAGCATATACCACCTATTACAATATCTTAACTTTAAAAAAATGATAAGATTACTGTTGCACCTAGCCTTTCAATTGTTATTTACTTATTAGAGCATTTTATTTTTCTGATATATACAAATTCAATTTAATAGGAAATAGAGATATTCTTTCCTGAAGCTAAAACTATTCATTGCACAACAGCTAAATTTACTAATTGTACTTGTTGTATAATTAAGCCACATATTGTTCGTAAAGGTAAGTTTTTAAATATTGATTTTTTTATTGTATTTTCTATTTTATTTTAATGATTCTTTATAATAAAGTAACATGAATGAAAAACATTAATTTTTTTCTTTTCATTCTAAAACAAAATATACTAAATCATAAAAATAATTATTCATTTCTTAAAAATATTAGCAAAAATATATTATTTTGAGAAATTTGTATTTGTGTTTTCTAAAACAATCCATTTAATTTTAAATATATTCAGAAATGACTCAATTATTTTCTATCAGAATCATTTTCAAATTTATTTAAAACTCAATCAATTCTAATCTATTTTTTTATATACTACTTAATATTTAAATAATCAAACATCGTTACTACACCTGATACGTTTAAAGCTATACATCAACCAAAGCCTAATATTATCAGGTTAGAAACGGCTATAATACTGATTAAGATTAAGATTACTACTTGATTAAGAATAGCTAACGATATAACCATAGATTATGAACTACTTGATTAAGATAAGCTAACAATATAACCATTGACAGTTATTATGTGCCTTGGAGAGTTGTTTGCACATTGTGGGCACTGAATGCAGCATTGTAATAACCGTCGATTACCCAGACGGCATTGTAATAACTATCAATGGTTATATCGTTAGCTTATATATGCTGGAAGAGGAGATCAGACTGAAGGTCTGGGTAGCATAATTGGCAACACATCTGCACGGTAAGCAGGAGTTGTGGGTTTGAGTCCCGTTTTGGGCTGATTCTTTTCTTCCAGTAATTCTAAAATAATTATTTAAATTATTTAATTAATTTATAATTATTAAATTTATCAAGAGATAACGCCTAGTGCCTAACTCTAATGCCAAATTGTCTATTAAATTATTAGTATTATAGCCATTTCTAGCCTGATAATATTCAGCTTTGGTTGATGTATATTAAATCTTTATTACAGTTTTTATAAATTATACAAAGATAACTCTTTCTTAAAAGAATTTATAATTTACAGAATAACAGAATTGCTTTTTGTTTATTTATTAATCTGAAGATCAGATTGATTATTTATCATTTTAGATGAATATATTTATATATATATAATTCAATTGATAGAATTTTTTAAATGCTAAAAAGATATTAACACCAAAAAAAGTTTGAAAGTGTTTTTAATCAAAAGTTAATCAGTGTAAAATCCATTACATTAAAGATAGATATGTTTTAAAGGAATTTTTAAAAGTCTAAAAAGCATTTAAAAGTTTTTACAAAATTTATTATTTCAAAATAAATATCAATGTAAGATTTACAGAATATATTTGACTTAGGTAAGATTAATATAACTAAATCTATATATTAGACAGAGTTAGATAACCTAATAAATAGGATTTAACAATTTGGAGGGCTTATCACACCTAGGCTGACAGAAAGAAGGACCAGAACGTTTACAAAAAAGTTAGTCTTTAATAATCACATTTCAAATTTAGGTAAAGGATGCATTTCGGATAAGCCCTCCAATTGTTAAATCCTATTTATTAGGTTATCTAACTCTCTAATTTATAGTTGTGGGCTAAAAGCGTTGTTTATTATTAAATCTATATTTATATGAACTTCCTTGGAAAATAAAAAGATTTGGCTAGTTTTAGGCACTATTAATACTAGTTTTTGAGTGCAAGAGCATGAAGAGAAAGAAAATATGCAAGCTATATATGTAAGGTTCTTTAAATTCATCTAAAAACATGCTATTTAAAAAACATATTTAATTTTATTGAATTCTTGTTTATATATTCAATTCTAAATACCCATTTTGTTTATGTTTTGAATTATTGATATATATTTTACACTTTATTGATTTGTTTTAAAATAAATATTTTAGAAATAGTTCCACAAGTGACAAAGCACATACCTCACATAAAATTAAATGTGATGAAGCCTTTTTACAAGAATTTTTGTACAATTTTTGTACATTTAATATTTTATGGATCTGTGTTTATCCAAAATGTAAGTCAAAAGAAAGTGCTGATACAAAAAATTCAATATGTGCAAAATCATTGATTTGGATCAAAACTTATGAGTTGAGAAATAATTCTTATTCATAAGTTAAAATTCCAACATTTGCTAAATGAACTTGTAGAAGAGATTGTATAAGAAACCATTACCAAAATTAAGAATTGTCTGTATTCTTGATTTTTTTATTTTAAATCTAAATTAGTTGTTAACAAACATATCAAGCTTTGTGATATCTACATTTTCAAATGTCTTTTTTTTTNATTGATTGACTTATTAATATCAGATAATAAGATAAGGTCAACTACTCGTTCGAAGAATTTATTATAGGTTGTTATATCGACAATTTGATCATATACAATACTTGTGAACCATATTATCAAGAATTTTGTATTGTTAATCCGCGTATCATAGTCATTGCAATTGTATAGTAGATTATATGGAAGAAGTCACCCAGTATGAAAGATCCATTATGCAGGCAGCCGCTATACAAAGACCCTTTCTGAAAGTTGAATAGGAAGATCGATGTATTTGGTTCAATTTCAACTGAAGATCCTCGATGGCATTCCAACCTATTAAACTGCGTTCAGCGGTCGCCGGATAATGCAGAATTCCGAGTGGACACCCACATTATTTTTAGTTAAAGTGGAGGGTTTCACTAACACGTGAAAATTCCAGTCAGTCTCGACCTGGTTCTTTATGGCCCTCTAGAGTAACAAAATTAATTGCTTTGATTCGTTACTCTAGACCGGTGTTTCTCAACGGGGGCGATATCGCCCCCATGTGGGCGTTTTTCCATGTTGAGGGGGCGATTAGTAACAATTTATATTTTGGGGGGCGAAAAACAATTTTCTGGGCGATATAGTAAAACATTATATTAAGATTAATTAAATATTTTATTCGTTATACCGTACAATAATTGAACAAATAACATTATGCTAGTCACTAGTCTATTGAATGCAGTACGAATTTGGCGTTAGCCTTGGCCCTGGGCATCGGAATTTTGAAGTGAAGGGGGCGATACTGCGTAACAGTTTTATTGAAGGGGGCGATACTACGTTGAAGGGGGCGACGATTCGTTAGAGGTTGAGAAACACTGCTCTAGACTCTAGAGGGCCGCTGTTATAATGGTATAAACAAATCTATACTTAATTTTATGACCATATTTAATGAAAGTAACGATTAGTATACAAGTTTTTTGATTTGTTTTTTGAAACCGTGTCCTGTTTTATATTTGTGGCGTAATAAACACTAGTATTGTGTTTTATTCCAAAGACACAATACTAGTAAATAAAGCCCGAAACGAGTACAAAACAATGTACCGTATCAACTAATAAAGGAATTTGATGGAAAATTTGCCATGTGTCTTTGGAATAAAACACAATACTAGTGTTTATTACGCCAAAAATTCTTCTGTTTTGTTGAAACATGCTTTGTTTATATATTCAATTTCATGCTGAATGTCAAAATAAGCGGAATAGGGTTTTTATCGTCACTTTAATAAAAAATATTGCCAAGTGGTAATTTTGATGGATATGCAGTGTGGCCCTTGCTTAATGTGTAACTTTACAAATTTTTTAACTTGTTCTTTCATTACAATCCTATTGTTTCAATTTTTAAAATAGACTTTGTTTGAGATGAACATAAGTATTACCTGTTAATTGGGCAACAACATAAAAGATAATTTATTATTTAAAATTAGCCCNGTACTTTTCCTTTGTTTAAGGGTATTTGGGCAGTTTATTCTCTGTTGTATTCTCAAGTAAACAATACATACAAGTACAGTACAGTATTTTCTGAGGAAACACTTATTTTTTTTAACCCCATTCCCAATAACCCGGTGTTTTCACAAACTCGGCCACTCTTCGGTCCACATTAGGCCGAGTTTTCGAGACTACTGTAATAATAATATCATTAGTTCAGTAATTTTTTATAAAACTTTTAAATGAAATAAGAACAATCAAATTCTATTTAGTTTAAATGGTTTTTTATTAATATATTGCACATAATAAAATCAATCAGTTCTTTATTGTATGAACCTTAGTTCATTACAAGGGGGTAATTGTAACAAAAACAAAAAATTAATAATAATATTTAACAAGTTAATAATTTAGTACAAAATAATGCAAAATAAAATATAGAGTAATAATTAGTGTTGTAACGAATAGTATATTCGGCCTCAGGCTGAATACCGAATATTCGGCCAGGAGCATGGCCGAATAGCCGAATATTCGGCCAAACTATTCGGCTTGATTAACGCACGTACGAAAATTGGCTCGCAAACCGCATTATGGCAAGGACTCTGCACTCTATTGACCCGTTGTCACTACGTTTTGCCAATTGTGTTAATTCTTGACAGTTGTAGCGGACCGACAAGAGCATCATGGCAGTATGTGATAAATGATGATATCAAATGTGAATAACAATGAAATGACCTAAATGTGTAAATAACGGAAAAAGAACAGAGAAGGACCGCGAAGTGAAAATGTGAAAATAAATATCCTGGGGCCCTTCGGGCTACCAAGCTGTCTCGAATCTGTGAAATCATAACTGTGACTTGTATCGAGTCCTATCTGTCTCTTTTCTCCGTTATCACCAGGCTATGAGTCACATAATTGTAAAATGGGAAATCTACGACGGAAAAGTGACGAATCGAAAGTATCGTGAGCGCTTATTATGATGTATGCATAGGCATTAGTTATGTGCCGGATCGTTAAAAATGTATATCCGCGGATACGGATATGGATACGGATGATTAGTGTCTAGATCCTTGGACACGGACACGGACACAAATCTCAACTTTCGTACTCAGTCAGCGCCAGTGCGTGTGACCTTAGACCGATAGTTGACGCTTTGTGTTAGTAATGCGACTTGTTTTGACTTGCATTGCGCGTGTTTTTGTTTATAGTTTAGTTTGACACGGGATAGCATAGATTACATTTGTGTTTTTGGGGAGTGTTGAGTTAAATTAAAATAAAAACAATGTAGACAAAAAATTTTAGCAGTGTAATATGGAAATATTTTACGATAGTAAATGATTTTTGCATGATAATTTTTAAATATGAATGTGCCAAATATGTGATTTTAATTAAGAAATAAAAAGTGATTTGAATTTAAGTTATTAGTATTTCATTGCCACCTATCTTTAAAATTTCATATAAGTAATGAAATTCATTAAGATAAAAGATCAGTTAAAGATCCGCTAAAAAGTAATGGATGCGGATACATATACGAATTTTTTTTTCCTCGGATATCCGCGGATACGGATACGGATACGGATATCCGGCACATCACTATTAGGCATACGTGGACTAGAGCGATAGAGAAAAGAGAAAGGGAAAGGGAAAAACAAGCGCTTAAAAAGAAGGATAGGCAGGGTCAGACCCTCAGAAGTGCGACGATTCTCGAACGAATGGGTGTGTACATCTGCTGATCTTCATAATTATAAATTGTGAATACATGTGACTAATATTATTTTCTTTTTTATTTTGTGCATGTTATAAGTTATAAATAAATATAAACAAACAACACTAACCCGATAACATTAAATCTAAATACCAAAATGATTAATTTACTGTGTTTTTATTATTTCTTACTCCTGTTTTTAGGTATTCGGTATTCAGCCGAATAGTGATTAAATATTCGGTATTCGGCCGAATAGCGGAAAATAAGCCGAATATGCCGTATAGCGAAAAATAAGCCGAATAGGCCGAATACCGAATAGTAACCGAATATTCGTTACATCACTAGTAATAATCAGATTTTGAAAAACACAGTAAATTAATATCATCTTTCCAAGACTTAAATCTTATTAAATACTTGTCCCTACTGACTTTAAATTTTACACCATGAAGAAATATATGTTCCAAAGTTTTGTATACTTGCATAGTACAATATATTTTTTCAAGATCTATTATTAGTCTACTATTATATGTTAAGATATAGTTTTGACCACATCTCAAATGAAGAATTAATCATTTAACATAATAATTTATATTTATAAGCAAATAATCTTCACACATAAATGTCATTTTAATGCTACAATATAATTGAAAGTGTTTATTCTTTTCTAACAAAGACCAATCTTCTTGTATGCTTTGTTCACAGCACAATCTTATAATTAATGGTTGATAACGTTCGATCAGATAAGGATCTTGAGATAGCCATAGAAAAGAAAAATCAAGTTGTTCTAACAGATTTTGCAATGCTGACATCTAGTTATTTGGCACACAATAAAAAATAACATAAATAATAAAAGATAGATGATTGTTGTCATTGCTGACATAGTACTGAAATATATAATGATTTTTTATATGATTTTCTATAAACACAATAGCAATTAGCAGTCTTTAATAAATATTTCTAACTTGGTAATTAAAATTTTGGATTTATAATAGAAAAGAAAGTTCCAGTAAGTCTGTGTAACAAATAAACTTAAGTTTTACATTTTAAAAACCAAAAATAGATGCATTTTTTTATTTTTGTTAAACCAAAACTGTATAAATGAAGCAAATATATTTTATTAAAATATCATAATGTCAATTTAAAAAGTGTTTGTATTTTTATATGATATTTTTTATACATAATAAATTTGATTAATGTATTTTAGATATACATTGATTATTCTTCTGCTGAAGATTTTTATGAAGTTTATAAAGGTGTTGTTGCTGAATATTCTGTAAGTATTTTGTTTTTTGGTAATGTAATAGCTTTTATAATTTGAGTATAACTTTAATAATTGATTTTTATTGTGAATACAGTATAAGGTATAAATTTTATAAAATTATCTTACAGTTATTCAGAAAATTACAATATATGTTAATATAAAATAGCTACAAATGAAATAGCTTTCACATCTAGTTTAAAAAAATGATTTAAAAATTAATAATACTAGGTCTGATTATATGAAAAAGTTCAATCTATAATAGGATTTGGATTTTATAGATAATCAAAAGAAAAAATTCACTTTAATTTATGTAGTCATTTGCTTTTTTAGTATAGTCTTTCCTTGACTTATGAAGGGGTTACATTTTGAAAAACATATCATAAGTATAATATACCACAAGTCAAAAATAAATATAAATAAATAGACTATATACAAGATTATACAGTATGTGAGTTTAGGCTACCATTGATTGCAATAGCCAAAACTCACAAGCAGTCTTTATAACTGTCTTGCTTAGATGATATCTGAAGTTTCTCATTGAAAGCCTTTTTCTTCTTCTCACCAGTAGCAGGAGACACAGTGGGAATTTTGCAGACATAATGGTATACAGTCAACCCCCCTATAACACTGTTGATAATTCCATTTTATATGAATTCCATGTTGTACAAATCACTTAGATTTTACAAATATGTGTGCTGGGCTGTGAACGACTCACGTATTTGTAAAATCCAAGTGACTCATATAACATGGATTCATATAAAATGGAATTATCAACACTATTATAGGGGGGTCGACTACTCTAAAATACATGAAGATATAAGGTGGTACATATAAAAGAAAGTCTCAAGAAAGATTGTTAATACATCAATAGAATAGCTTGAATCTAAATTCTAGCCATTTTCCTGCACTTCCACTTCACTCATATTGGCCATCATATGGCAAAATATCATAGGTCAAGGAGCATCTATATTGTCTTATTGCATAACCATTTTCATCTTTACAGAAGAAATGAATATGGAAAATAGTGAATATAATAATAATTGTATTGTTATATAATTAAATACTTAAATTCATGTAGTGATAATTAATTTTTTTAATAATCACTACATGGTGAAATGAAATTATAGATGAATCTGGATTTCATCATTAAAACAGATGAAAAATTAAATACTCCATAGATATATATTAATAATGAATTGAATTTTTCAATTCTAAGATAAATAAGGCTTCAATTATCAGAATAGTAATATGAAAGTGAGTTGATTCTAAAAGTTCTTAGATACAGTAGAGTCCTGCTAGTCCAAACTAATTGGGACCTAGCCCTGTTTGGATTAGCAGATTTTTGGATTACTCAAATAATTGAAATAATGCAGAAGCAAGCAGTGAAACAGGTCTGGTTTATATAAATCTAACATCAATAATGACGTCAGTGCCCCATCCTTTATTTCATCTGACTTGTACTCAATAGAGGGCCTAAACAGTTAACAAAAAACAAGTTTTGTAATTTTGAAATAGCAACCTGCCTTCATTGTTTACCTCAAAATTATTTTAACTGTAAAAAAATATTGTTTTTAATACACAGTCCAAGAATCCAGTTAACTGATGCTACTGTGTGAGTTAGCACACTTAATTGTGGATATTGAATGTATTCTTTGCTCTACATTATTTTAGTTTAGTTTAGGCTCCTGCTATAATGGTCATGAAATGGAAACACACAATATGTACGTTGAAAGATAAGCTGGATGTTTTGAAAAGGCTGGACAAAGGTGAAAGTGCAACAAAATTGGCAGTAGAGTTTGGAGTGGGCAAAGCCACAATAACCAACAAAAAAAACTGTGCAAAGATCAAGAAGCTTTGTGCCTCTACTTCAGAAAAATCAGTCAAAAATCAACAAACAGCAAGGCCCTCAATGTTTGACAAGCTTGATGAAGTCTTATTCATGTAGTTCACTCATGAAAGAGAAAGGGGGAACATCCCTAAATAGACCTCTTGTTAGAGAAAATTTCCTCTCCACTGACCGAAACGTTTGGATTAGCATGTTCCAACTAGCGGGACTCTACTGTATAAACACTATTGGAATTGGTGCAGATTTTACCTCTTGGATTGCTTTATTAGCATGAATTGAAAGAAATTAATAACAAAAGGAGGCAAAAAGTAGTTATTTACAGTTTATACATTGTATCTAATGTTATAGATTTTTCTTGTAAGCATTTATGCTTCTGCTGAAACTTATCAACTTACAACAGTATCTCTACAGAAAAATAACTGAAATTTTTTAATTATTAGTGTATTTGCATAAATAATTTTAAGAAAATGTAATAATATAAAATAATTAATTTTAATGAATCAAATATATTATTTTGTTTAGTTTTTTCTGTTCCAAAAATGTAGAGTGATCACAATTAAAACATTGTATTCAAAATAATCTGCAGAGATTTCTTTTGACTAAAACTTATCCAAACTTGATAGGAATACTCTTTAGAAGATGAAGAAGCATTTTCCTTGAGAAAAAAATAGTTTTGGAACCACCACCAATAGGAGTTTTATGATATACATTGAAAGAAAAGTTTAATAGTGTGATTGCTATGAGTGCAACTATCCAATTGGCCCATTTAAGCCAGAAATTTAAAATATGAAGTATGATTTATAAATTTTATTATGTTACTGATTTATATGAAAGAAATGTGAAATGTGTGAAATAAATCATTATATGTTTATGTAAGCAATAGTTCTTTGAAAGCAAAAGAGTTTTACTCTGATGAATTCACATTTAAAAATCTCATATATATAATGGCTTAACAAACAGGAAATATCTAATGTGAGGGAAAAAACCACTTCAAATATTAAGTTTACACTAAAAAATGCATATATGTAATGCAGCTTAACAATTATGAAACAACAAATATCTGTTTATCCTATTTTCCTCAAGAGAAGTAACAAAAATTTACTTCCTTTGAGGCAAATGGGACAAAGATCCTAAAATAAACTAAGTAGCCTTCTTATTTTTGACCATTTCTCTCTAAAATGACCTCTCCTCTGATGAACTTCAAGAAATAAAAGTCACTATGGCACATTATGTAACATAACATCCAAAAGATTGTTACATTACATAACATAAAGTGTAAACTAAAAAAATGCAAGAACTGGCACAGAACTATGTAGTGACTGTAGAGATATATCTTGTCTAGGTGTGGGGTAATGAATTGAGGAGTTTACAACATAAATGAACCACATTGAAAGAGCAGATTTTAATTTTGACATAAACATATCCAATCGATTCAGAACTTAACAATGTGCTGATCGATCATACAATTATTATGACTTATCTACCAATCACACGAGTGGCTTTGAGTCAATACTAATACTAATACTACTACACGAATATTCTTAATATACAGTGGTGCCTCGTAAAACATAGCCTCAAATAACAGATGCTGCGAACAACAAACTTTCTGTTTGGCTGTTACGTGACGTGAGCAACGAACTGGCTGCGAACAAACGACTTTCTGTTACATGAGGCAAACAATGAACTTTCTGCGAACAAGTGCGAATGATGTTTCCACTCTTTTGCTGTTGCCAATGGCAATCTTCTATTTTTATAATATATTAGTATTATTAGAATACATTATTAGTATATCTGAAGTACAGAGCTCCTGTTGGGATTTGGCTTGCTCCCTTGTTTATTATGTACATCACCTCAGTGTAGGATATTTACATTTATTCAAATGTTGTGCAAATCATGGCTTCTAAAAAAACAGAAAGGTGATTTCAATTGAAACAAAGCAAGAAATCATCAGAAGGAGTGAAAGTTAACAAAAACTTCCTTGTCAAATAAGGAGAGATTCAGGAGTTTACCAATACTCATTATCCAAACACAGCTGAGGCTAACAGGATCAATGATCTCTACAATAACACCCTTGCCCATCATTTCCGACAGGTGTTGAAGAAGAGAGAGAAACAGACCACCTTGGACATGTTTTTCAAGAAGCCAGCTGTCAAAAGACAAAGGATGGAACAAGAGGAGTTGACCCTGCAAGCCCCAGTAGCCTCTCCTGAATCCAACTCCGATTAAAAAACAATACAAATAGACCCGCTGCAATGTGTAAAAAGTCTGTATCTGTATGAATATGTGAAGAAAGTGTTCCTCCACCTCCTCACAACATCTGACTACCCGGCATAATTCGTGACTGCTCCATTTTCATTTTTTTATGGTACAGTATGGTTATTTTATGCTGCAGAACGAATTATATGTTTTAACATGTATTTCTATGGGAAAATGCATTTTGTATAACAGACTTTTCACTTAACGGATGTGTGCCTGGAAGGGATTAAGTACATTATATGAGGCACCACTGTATACAATTATTTACAAGTTGATACTAAAGATCATCGCATCTTCTGATTATAGTTGCTTAGCTATATCCATTTCTTTTGTTAGTCAACATGGTTGTTAAGGGGTCCAACAACAAGGAAAAAGTTTCTGAATCCACGAAATAACCATCTCGCTAGACGCACCTGATAATCTGAAGATTCTTATGATACTTCCTTGGTTGTAGGGATAAAGTTCTTGATAGGTTTGGATTACCGCTCGCACACAATGGTTCAATCTTCTAACCTTTCCATCCTATTATCATCGTGACCTTCTCTCCCCTTTCAGTCCAGGTGGGAGCTTGAGAGTCCAAGTCCAGTCTGAAGAAGAATCCAATACCCCAGAAAAAAAAGGTGACTATCACATGAAACATGCACCTTTTATATCTCCTGCCATCTGGGAACCATGTCCACCCACGTGATCCTTTTCTTAACCAATCCACAGTCAGGATGCTTGACCCAAAAAGGTGATTTGGAAAGCGCAACAGACTGTTAAGCGTAACAATAAAACCCAATACAATTTTTTTTTTTACGAAAAAATGTGATTACATGATACTACAAATAAACAATATTACAATAGTAGCAGAGCACTACAACTATATGTCATAGTGTTGGAATTAGTGAGACTACAACAGAAACCATTCAATGTGCCCTCCATTATGATGTTCCAAAACCTACATTCAAAAGATGTACTCAATAAATAGAGTTCAATTGGTCTATAATCACATGTGCTATTTTTCAGTCTTAAGACTGACAAATTAACATATAACCCTAAAAAAACTTTTGTTTCCAGTTCTACAAGTGTCCCTACAATTAAACATTATTAAATTTTAGATCTGATGAACAAAATGACCACACTATTTAGAAATGAGCAGCTAATCACTTTGTCTCTGGTGAAACATTGTCACAGAAGTTGCTATTTAGATTGTCTGCCATTTGGAGATGCTCTTTTAAAAAGTAGTCAAATCAATACACAATTGCTGCTGTAAGTTGTGAGGCAACAAAACTGTTCATCATCTTTCAATGTTTCTGGGTCAAAATGGAAGGTTATAATCAGTTCAGTGATTTTTTTCTTAAAAAACAAACCAATATAGGCTCATTGTAAAGACTCATACTATGTAATAAATGTTGAGTGTAAAGGAATTTGTTGGATTTCATGACACTGTATGTGTAATGCTGAAATCCTGCTGTGTTGATCCACAATGACAGTGACAGTGTGTTTTTGACTTTGATAACTAATTGATCCTATAAATAATAAGAATAGGTATGTTTACTGTGATAAAGTACATTATCATTTAGAAAATATTTGGAGAATTGAAGTTATTTTGGAGTAGAAGCCTTTTAATATTTGTATAAATTTTAGCCATTGGGGTCTTTCATCTGTTTTCTTTTGATTTGCTCTTTATCAGTAATAGGGTTCATATTTATCTGCTTTTTTCAACTGGTATTCTGCTCAGAGCATCAGAATTAGTATGTGCTTTCCCAGCTTTGTATATAATGCCAAAATTATATTCTTGCAACTACAAATTCTTAACAGGTTAAAATTAGTTTGGTGAATTTTAAAATTTTATTTAACTTTTTTATTACACAAGTTCTTAATGACTCTATTTCATATAAATTAATTAATTAAAATTGTTTTTTTTTTTTATAGGAAATGGTCAAACAATTATCGGAGGGACCATGCATTGCTTTGGAAATTTCTTCACCAGTATGTGAAGAAAGTATGGTGACAAAACTAAGGCAGTTTGTAGGACCTTCTGATCCAGTAAATGTCTTAATAATAAATTTGAAACTTAAATATGCAGATATATTTTTTTAATTTTACAATAATTTGTTTTCTTTTGTCTGTGAAAAATTTTAAATCATTTAATGGAATTCAAAATATTTAAATAAATTCTTTTTAAAATTAAAGGAAATAGCGCAACATCTCCGTCCGACCACATTACGTGCTAGATTTGGAGAATCAAGTGCAAAAAATGCCGTACACTGTACAGATTTACCACAGGATGGATTATTAGAGGTTAGCATTATAGTTTTTAAATACTTAATACAAAAGCTGTTTAATTTTATAGATTTTTCTATATACTTCAACCAATGATGAAATATAATAATAGAAATTCATATTTTATATTTAGTGTAGTTGTTACTGTGAATGACCGATATCTGGCAAATATCAACATTCTGTGGGTGAATGTCAGCATTCACACAGTTGTTTTGTGTATGTACGAAATATTTGCTAAATATCATTATTTCTCACTTACACCAGTAAATGTTGACATTCAGCATGCACTGATGGTGAATGTTGAATAAAAATATTTTTATTATGTTAAGACAAAAATGCAACTTTTTAATATGTCAAAATAGGAGAAAGTTTAAGTAACAGCACATGTAAATAAACTGTTGAACCTAAAATGAACAGTACATTTTAAATCATTAAAGAAAATAATACGATAATAAACTTACACATAAATTATGTGATTAACGTTATACAATCTTATTTATTGCAACAACTTAAACTGTTATGGCACTTTCAATTGCACAAGAGTCTCTTGTTTTACAACTGCATTTATTAATGGAACACTTCCTTTTGCAATGACAGCGTGTATAGCCTTGCCCTCCACTTTTCAAATTAGCTGCAGCTGCTTTTTTCAGCGATATTTCTTGAGAAGAAATCTCATCTATGGAAAGTAACTTTTCTTTACAAATTACGAACTGATTACGGGTATAAAGCTGCTTGAGGGTACCATTTTTGTTTGCTAATTTATAAAATTCATTGTCTTCTATTCCAACAACAACCACCAACACATTTCGGGCATCTGTATAGCCATGGTCGACATCACGGACTTGTATTTGTACGGTATCACCAATTTGAGCAGAAGGAAACGGCAAAGAATTTGGCGACAGATTGTCTCCTCCTTGTCAACATCGGCTTCTCAGGTGTCGTTTTGACTTCCACCAAAGCTTATCTATGCTTGTCGACATACACTGGCGATTGTTCGAATGTATAATAATATAACCAAATATTCGGTCTTTCACCGACATATTTTGTGTGTCACCATTCACCGGAGAATATCGACATTCTCTAATTTCAGTCTTGCACAGTAACATAGTTATATATTAAATTATAGTCTTCTTTGATATTGCATCAAGAAAATCTGAAATGTTTTAGGTAATCTTATCCTTATATGTTTTTTCAAATTTTATATTTATAATGAAAAACATTTTGAAAATTCAAAATATAATAGTAAATCTTTATTTAAAACATTCTTCCCTTACAAAAATGAAATATTATTCAAGATACTTACTTTTAAACAAAACTGAGATAAAAATAATGAAAAATATTTAAAAATTATAATGTATTTTATGTTTACTAACAGCTTCTTGTACTTATCAATAAAAAAATTACTTTATATGATATACAGTTGACCCCCCTATAACATGGGTTCCTATAGTTTGGATTCCTATATCACGGCGAAAAAATTGCGACAGTATTTGTACAAACATGCTAAAAAAACTCATATAATTCAGTAAAACATCATCACCGACTCGTATCACGACAGGATTGGTCGAATCTAGACCAATAGTGGATATTGCACAAACCATTGAGTTTAAACGAGCAGTGGACCTACTAAAAACCATTTATTATTTAACGTCCATAAAAATTATATTTATATTAATGATGTCTCCAAAGTTCAGTGAATTTTTCGCAAAAAAAATAATTTATCAGGAAAGCACGCGAGCGCCATTCGATGACAGGCTCCACGACGAAAACAAGCTTATTAAGCAATGGCGTAGTCGAACGGTGCACACTCAATAAGTAATCCTACAATTTTTTGTTTATAGCATAGTTTATATGGATTATTCCCAAAAAATTATACATATTTTGGAAATGTTGAGTCAAATTAGTCTAGAATCGATTAATTTTATGGAAGAAACCTTTCAAACAACCATAGTCCGTAAACTGCATACATGCCGTGCTGTGATTGGCTGGACTCGTAGAAAATGGATTCATAAAAACTGGAACGTATCTACCGTGTTATAGGGGGATCGACTGTACGTTATTATTTTACTCTTCTAAAAATGAATCTCTTTCTATATTATGTCAAGTTATTTGATTGATTACTTGCTCCATTAGTAAAGTCTACTTGATTATAGATTTTTGTTGTACGAAAAATAGTAGTATTTATTAAGTTGGGGGTCAAAAGTTCTTAAAAGAAGAGCCATTTTTTAAATTAAATTTAAAGCCATAAAGCCATAATGCATAATGAACTTGTATTAGACATCTATATTATTAAAATAATATAAAGTAAAACTTCTCTAACTTGAAGCTCCAACAAGTAGGATAAAACTTCAAGTTACAGAATAGAGTAAAAAATGCCAATTCTGAATATATTTGTATTTTTATTTCTCTTGCATTATATAAAGAATGTTTGATAGGTTTTGTTGTTTTAAACAACCCGTGTAATGCCTTCCAGCAAAATGTTCAATGTAACTAATGGAATCTAACAGTTTTGCAGGTACATCTTGTCAAGATAAAGTGACATTTCAGACTGAAACATTGTTTGCAAATGGGTTTTGGACAGTAGATACGACTGTCTGAAAACTTCATGGAAATTTGATAATTAGAATCATGTTTTATAGAATAAATATTAAAATTCAAGTCATGGAAGTTGAAAGTAACGTAAATCAGTGGCGGGAGACCACAAAAACCTTTGACTTGGAGAAAACTCAAGTTAAGGAAATTCAGAGATGTTAAATGCTATTCCATCAAGACCTACTGAATGCTTTGTTTTCTTTGAGTTAAAGAAATATTCAAGTTACAGATGTTTGAGTTAGAGAAGTTTTACTGTATGGGAGTTGATCAAAGACATGTATTATGCACTACAAAATGGAGAGTGTTTTAATTATCTCAAAAGTAATTATTTATTTAGTTTAGTTATTTATCTCACTATGATAAAAAGTAGAGAATTGACTTTTTCATAGAAGTGTTTCAGCTCCTGGAACCATTTTCAAACCACTTCTTTTGATTGTTGTTTGATATGAATGTGTAGCCTTGTAAAGCTTGCTTCAGTTTCTTGAAAATGATAAAATCTCAAAATGAGAGGGCAATGGAATTGGCCCAGTGTATCCTAATCAGGTTGATGATGTAAGTATGGTTTTTTAGTTCCAAGTACTCAGACTCAGTGTTATAGAGTCTCTTCACTTTTACTCTAACTTGATACTCCATGTAAAACATGATGAGTTTCAACTGAAGTTCATATACAGTAGAAGTTCGGAAAATCGATATTTCAGATGACCAATTATGTACGAAAAAATATATTAACCTATCCCATGTTGAAATTTTTCTCCGTTGCGTGTCGCTTCGCGTTGAATTTTCGTCGATGTTAAGCCTAACGAAGACTATTGTATCGTTAAAAATTATTTTTTTATTTTGTACAAACAAAATAAATATATTGAAAAATATAAAAACAATAAAAAATTATACTTCAGAAGTTAATTTGGTATCAAAAACATAAAATATTTGAGTAGTCCAAGACATAGCCAAAGATTGCAGCGCCACAGCACTGGCGAAAATTTAAATTTGCCAACTGGAATTCTTTCGGATAATCGACGCTCTACTGTATTTTAACACCATTAAATAGAAATCCTCAGTTGTTGATTGTTGAAGCATTATTGTAAAGATGTAAGGAAATAAAACTTAATTTATGTTTACAGATTAGTGAAGATTAAATATATTAGCTGTATTTTGTCTAAATATGTTCTAGTTTAGTTTTTTGTCATATTTACAATAGTTCAAACCATAAATGGAAATTGCATGCTGATTCACAATATAATCAAATTATTTTTCACAAATCTGGAAATTCTGTTCGCAAAATACATGTGCATATGTTTTGTTTATTTATTTATTTTATAAAGATTTAAAAGAAAAAGCAGATAGAAGTGAAAAATGCCAAAGAAATGAAAGCGAGACAATTTTGAAGAATTTCCTAAAAGTTGGGAGCTTGATGGCCAGACGGCCAAGGTGCTTAAGGCATCGGCCTGCCACTCTGGAAATCTGGGATCATGTATGGGACAAACAACTCCCAGGAATTTTCCATGGATGGTCTGCATAAATTGGACTCTATCTTTTATCACTAGGATACCTCATTATGGATTTGGCCAAGCCCACTATGAAGCAGCTGAGGCCCTCATTGTGGATTTGACCAAGGTCTCTTAATGTAACAGAGTGGAAAGAGTAGGAAAAACTAAACTTCAAGTGAAATATTATATATATTTTGAGTATAAATCAACTAAATATTTAGAAAGTTTATCTGTTTAGGATGGTTGTTTTGTAAAACAGATTTTGTTTCATATTCAAGATATTCATATTTGAAATATTACAAAAAAGTATTGTCACAAACAGCAACAATTGGTAATTGTAATTAAAGTGATGTTTGCAAAAACAAGATATGAATTATATTTGCTAAGTGTACGAAATCTCAATATATATAGGCCTAAATAAAAAGTAAGTAAACTATACAAAAATATTTTATTTGGACTCTTAAAAATATATAGATGTTTTGTTGCTAGGATATTCAACTGTTTCTTTAGGTTACCAAAAATTATTTTTGGTAACCTGAAGCAGCAGTTGTATATTATTCATATATGAATATTTTTCATAAATGTTTAGTTTTGTTAACTTCAAAGGATTTTAAATTATATTTTTCTGTTTTCTAAGAATATTAGTGTAAACTATATATATATCTGATGAATCTTACTACTAATAATAAAATTATAATGACAACAGTTATGACATAATAAATAACAGTTGTGAAACTTAGAAGTCAATTTGCTAATATTTTTAAAATAAAGAGACTAGCAATAAACAAGTGCTTTAATATTCTTCAAACAATATAAAAGATTTAAATATTATTTTTTGAAAAATCAGTTGAAAGCTTGGTTAAACTATCCAATTATTAAGCAAATTTTAAAGCTAATAAAGCTGCTCAGAATACAATGAAATATCTGTTGCTCTCCTGTTTAAGTGGAAAAAAACCTACATTTGAGTTGTGAAACATAAATTGGTACAACTATCTCTCTCCTTCTCAGCAATATTAATTATAACAACAACACACCTGAATTCCATTTGCTGAGTTTTTTCTCTTTATTCAAACGTTTTCAGCCTATTTGGATAGGCCATCCTCAGGTTTTCATTTATCGTTCCAAAATGGAACCATTCATTCGAATTTTATTTTGATTTAAATTTTTGAAATGTGTTAACAACTTTTTGTATATTACATAAATAAACAAAATAAATAAAAATAAAATATGTCATTAAACGTGTTACATATTAGCAAAAATTAAATAACAAATTTTACATGTGTCTAAATATAATAACTTCTTATAATCTCCGTGGTTCCATTTTGGAATGATAAATGAAAACCTGAGGATGGCCTATCCAAATAGGCTGAGAACGTTTGAATAAAGAGAAAAAACTCGGCAAATGGAATTCAGGTGTTATTATTATATTGGTACAACTTGTTGGTTATAAGACTATTATTATTATGGATTATTATTAAAAGAATTTAAGATCTGTTCTGATTAATGAAGTTGACAAGTTAATAGAAATATTATTCAATTTATGATTATTTTTTTATTCCATAGTGTTTTACAAAAATATATGCAATAAAATTAGTACATTACATTATCATTCATTGACTCTTCTCCAGGCAATCTGAGTTTTTGGATTCATCAAGACATATTGTTAAAATGTTGTACTAAATAATTTTATAACAAATAAACTAGTTGAAAAATGTCATCAACTTTGTTTTCAATATTATTTGTGACAAACAAGCAAGACGAGTCCTGGAGAATAATTGCTTTAGAGTGGTGCAACAATCATTTGGTAGGAATTAGCAATTACTACCTAAATTTTACTAATCTTTTGTGTTTGATAAGCATTCTATGCTTGTATTTTTGTACTTAATTCTAGTACATTTGGGTAAGTTGGCAAAGTATTGTTTTTCCTATTATTGTGTTACACATACAGCATATATGTACCATCTCTCTCTTCTTGTGCTAAAATCCAGATGATTTGCCAAGTGCTTTGCAACCGGACGGTGACAACGATAATTCTGAAAATGACTACGGATTCCAGAAGTGACAGTTTATCTCTAATGCATCGGCGGTTGACAATGTCCCAAACTCTTCTGGAAATGAGGATAATAGTAGCAGAGACACTTGGCAAACTTGTACTTTGACATTGGCCACAAAAGAATTTGGAATTTGTAGTTCGTTACTTAATAGTTAGAATCGAGGGAATACAAAATTAACTTTCAAATTCAAGGTGCATATATGCCAAAGTTTTTTTGTAGAAGAAAAAAAATCTTCAGTTTTGTTAGAAAAACTATACAATTACTTTGAAATAGGTAATATATAGCAGCTCTGTATATGCATTAAAGTAATGGAAGGAATATTGGTAATGGCCAATTTAAATGCTGATGATGATAAGTAGGAGTTTAAAGCACATCTGAACTGATATCTGTTGAGAAGTGTAGCTGAAAATGTTCATTAATGGTTGTTGGCTGAAAACAAGCATAAAATATTCTACTTCAAACAAGTAAAAATAGGTAAACTAGTACATCTTAGGACTGAGGAAATAAGACATTCGTTATCATTGAATCTATATCATTGTGTACACAGTCATATTTTAAAATATTAAAAATGCAATAATTATTTTATATTAGAAATTCAATGTTTGCCTTTTTTACCAATATCATCAAGTATATGGAAAATAAAACGTTTTGTTTTATGTGATCAACTGACATATTTCAATAAATATGATATCAGTGAGCCAAAAATTCTTACTTGGATGTATTATACTTTTGACCTTATTTTTCATTGATTTATGGGGATCCTCATGAAATTATTCCTTGGGAAGAAATGCTTATTAGTTTATTTTAAGATATGGAATAATTTCTTTTGCAGTGAAGATAAAAATTTTGTCCAAAAAGAGACTTGCTGATAATGAAACTAAAAATATTTGACATTTGGTAGTTTTGAGTGATTTTAGAAAATAGTACAAGTATTGATAGCAACAAAGAATAAATTTCATTTAACCATTATTTTTTTGTGTGTAAATATCAAAATATTTTTACAACATAAATGAGATTTGTTTTTCCTTTGTACGAGGAGATTACAATTTTCAATTGCGTATACAACTGTCCTGCATGGATTTTTCAGTCAACAAATCATCATATAGATTAAAAATATTAAAACTCAATTTTAAAAAAATTCAGAAAATTTGTCCAAGTTTGTCCTGTAACTTGTTGGTTCATACATCGGTAACTTTTACAGTAAAAAATAAATTGTCTGTTCCGATATGAAATTATTGCATGAATGAAAATTAACAACTATTCCTTAAGTTTACAGTGGTGCCTCATACTTCAAAATTTAATTCATTTTGGGAGGTCATACAATCCAAAACAACTTTTTGCCTTAGAAATAACAAAGTGAATTAATCTGTTCCCAGATCTGAACAATGTATACTTTCTGGTTAAGTTTAAGGTAAAAATAATACATTTAAATGCCCTAAATGATTTATTATAAATAGTATTTACATATTTTAATGTAACAAATTGCATTTACTAGTAGCACACCAACTTTGGCATCTTTAACATAGTTGCAAGGTCTGCCACACATGTACCATTTTCATGCTTTACAATAAGTTCCTTTCTCACTTCACTCTTCAATACAGGCTTCATTGCTTTCACTCTTCTCGAATGCCATAGTTAATAAGTAGGGGTTGCATACATAACCAAAAATAAAGCGAAAAAGCACAGAAAACACACAAGCATAATGTAAGATGTTTTTGCAGCGAATGCATTTTTTTCATTGCATGCACAGTTTGAACATAGAAACATCATTCAAACTCTGAATTGAATTCCAAATCATATGAGGTATCACTGTGTTCTATATGTGAATATGGAAAATTATATTTTCTGGATCTTTGACAAGAAAAAAATTTTAGAATATTTTTATACTTCTTTCTCCCTCCACCTTTTTTTAAATCTATTCTTTAGTACGTGAAAACTGACAATTTTTAAGTCTACTCATTGTTTATTGGGCAAATTCAATGTTAGTAATAGTTTTCAGAGTAGGTTAATCTTACTAGTTTTTTCTTCCTGTCAATTGATAGATTTAGTATTTAAATCTCTAATCAGGTTTAAATTTTATAATGTGAATTTGTGTAGTCAATATATAAAAAAAAATCAGTTTTTATTTTCCAAAATTTATTTACACATGCAATATTTCACAAGTAAATTAAGGAAATCCTATACATATTTGCTGGCATTTTTTTTTAATTACAGGAATTTGTTTTATGAAGAAAACAATTTATTGCTCTATTAAGTTAAAAAATATATATATATATATATTTTATTTATATTTATTTGATTTACAAGTCACTGAATCTATAATAATGGTTAGACTTCCGGATCGGGTTACATTTTATTGTATTATCTATTACGTTTTTATGGTAAGATAACATTTTATCGTGCACGATACAAAAATACTAACATTTAGAACATTACTAAAACAATTCTAGATTGAAATAAAAGTGCAATATACAGATATGTACCAAAATACTAACAAAAAACAATAGGCAAGAGTTTTAGTGGGAAAAGTATAAAAAAACATGTATACAAAACCGAACAAGCATATTTTATATAATTTCCGAAACGTAAATATTAACTATTAAAAGCAAAAGAAAAAATTTCCAGACAAACAACTAACTAGTTTTACTATTTTCCCCATTGATGTATTCCGTTAAATGCTTGGTTAAGATAACAAAAATATGCTTCCAGACACAATCAACTGCCAGATTTCATAATCTAAAAGCCACTCTATATCACAAAAGATGTGCTTTATTTTTTTGTTTTTTTACAAAACACTGTTTAGTAATCTCTTGCTATTTTCTAAAGTTAAATAATAATTCAGTAAACTAGAATTGTGCACCAATATTTTAATAATCAAATTAAAGGGAAAAATAACTATTTTGAAGGAAAGTCTTCAAGGTTGTTTTAGTTTTATATATATATATAATTTATATATACTCTCTCTTTTCTTAGAAATATTAGACAACAAAAATAATTATATTAGAAAAACTAGTTTATTATTTTAAGCTATAATATTTTAACATTTTACAGGTGGAGTTCATTTTCAAGATTCTTGCCAGAATATAGCAGACTTTGAAGATGCAATGCCGCCATTAATGCCTTTTTACAGTAATATTTTACAATTTTGAGCATTTTACCTTCTGTTATGTTACCTCATTGATATTTATGACAGAAATTTTATTATTACAATTTTAAGTGCTTAATTCTAGTCGGTCTGAATTGTCAAACACAAGTCAGCAGAACCGAGAAATGCACGGCGTGCATTGGCATATGTGCCAACTATGTATAGGTGATTCGAGCTCGAAGGGGGAAAAAAGCTTAGTGAGGCATCACCTAATTTACTTTGGCATTATTTTGCACCATTTTGGGACCAAATTGCAGTTTGATTGGGTAGCCCATAGGACATCTCTATATATAATGTCTGTGTTTTACACCTCCTTTTTATATTAATAGAACCCAGGGGGAAACAAATGCTAGTGCTCTTCATGGGGTTTTAATTCTTTGATTTGTTTAATCAAATAAGCCTTTTCGTCATTAAACTGCTCATCGTCGGATCGGTCAGTGTGAAATTTAGTAAGAAAATCCACTAACTTCTCTTTGTTGCGGAGCAGAATATCCAGAATAGGTTTTGGTTTATTTGGATTTGCAACGAACACCTAATAAAATAAAAATTAATTTTAAGTAGTGTAATATTTTTATACGTTCCAAATTTGAAAGATAATAAATACCTTAAATACATGAAATGCTTCAAACTGTATATTTCTACTTTTTTCTTTTAACATATTCATCATCAACTTCAGATTTTCTGGATTACTGATGTAACGAGTCATGATGGTAAAATTGTGACGATCCAAAAGTAATTCTCCCAGTAACTAAAATAAGTTTGGTAAAATATTTTAAAAAATGACTGATAATAAAATTTTCAAAGTTATTCTACAAACCTTTAATGACTGTCTTCTAGTAACATAGTTTTCTGAATTCAACAATTGCTGATAATGACTAAATACTTTATCATAATTATTTTCTAAAAATTCTGCACAGAGTATTTTATGACGAGTCAGAAGTTCCTAAAAATAACAGTTTTTTTAAAGCTTTTTTTTTATTATTTTAAAAAGTTAAAAGATGACGTACTTTGAAAGTCGAAAAGGCATCAGAAGCGATATCGAATGTCGAAACTTCAACATATTTAAAAAAATTATAAAAATCATCAGAATAAAGCATGATTTTGGCCAGTGCCTCGTAACGAGCGCATTCGCGTAACATGGTACCACAGTTCAAAGCAATCTCCTGCTTCTCGTATCTGTTAAAATTCAAATATTCGTAAACAAACAACATTGCTAAACCCGATATACTATAAAACTAAACACTAATCAATGCCGAACGTGGACGCTGAATGTGTCCCCAGCCAGCATTATAATAACTGCCGATGGTTATAATGTAAGCTTATATATACTGGAAGAGATCGGACTGGAGGTCCAGATAGCATAACTGGCAACACATCTGCACAGTAAGCAGGAGTTGTGGATCCTGCTTACTTGTGCAGATGTCCTGCTCTAGGCCGATTTTTTCTTTTGGTAGTTCTAAATTATTTAAATTAATTAATAACTTTAATAATTATAATTTTTAAGAGATGGCACCTAATGCTTCCCTCTAGTGCCAAATTGGTTGCATAATTTATTTAGTAATATAGCTGTGTCTAGCCCAATAGATTTTGGCATTGGTTGGTGTCTAGCTTCAAATATTCGTTTATCAAGAATATTTTGAATTAAAAAAGAATAGTAATAATAAATACTTACCCTCTCATCAAAGTAAAAAGAATCTCTGGCTTTGTACAAATATACTCCACAGTGGGAGATCGGGTCCCTATCTGTCTTCGTAAGATATTATTGAAAATCTGGGCAACATCCTTTTTACCCTTTTATAAAAGTAAAAGTTAAGTTTATGATGAATTATAATACATTTATAAAATTTTAAAAATTATTTTGAAGTAAAACTTTTTCTAACGAACTTTAAAAACTGAACATGTTTTTAATGTTTATAAAATCTTATAAATACATCGTATGTATGTATGTATATTTATTTATTTATACACACACACACACAGTAGAGCATCAATTATCTGAAACAATTCAGGGCTGGAGTTGTTCAGATAATCGATTATGTATGAAAAAATATATTAATCCATCCCAAGTTAAAATTTGTTCAAATCCTGATGCGTCCTTAAGTACTCTCTCATTGTTGCACCAGTGCTGCCAGCTAAAACTCTCATACCAACAGAAATATTGGAGTAGCCCAAGACAGTGCTGTGGTGCTGCCACAGCACTGTCTTGGGCTACTCCAATTTGGCTAGCAGAATTTTAAATTTGCTGACTGGAACACTTTCAGTTAACTGATGTTTCAAGTTGATTGATATTTGGATAATCTATGCTCTACTGCAGTGTTCCACAAACTTTTTGTTTGCGGAACACCTACCAAATCAAGAAATTTTAGGAGGTACACCAAAGACAAAACCAATGTTTATTTAATATTTATTTATTATAAAAATCAGTACAATGTTTAATGAGAAATGTAAGCCTGCTTAACTGAGCACAGGTGATCAAAATTTGGAACAACTGTTGATAAGACTGCTCTCATCTCTTGGTCGATCGTCCTCAGGCATTCTCTTTTTCTTGATTTAATCATAGTGAGAGTTGAAAACCCCAATTTACATAAGTAGGTCGTGGCAAATGGTAAGAGAATTGCAATATTGTGCTTTGAAAGCAGTGGATACTCATTTTTTATATGCAGCCAAAAATGTGTTAGCTCTGTTTCAGAAAATTTTAGTTTTAATGTCTGATCAGTTTTTAGCTCCATGAATTCTTCCTGCTCGTTTATCGGTAGGTGTCCAATGGAAATGCTATCATCTGAGAATGGATTTCGTACCCAGCCCATTAGTTGCAGGTCACACTTAGGAAAATAAGAGTTCATTTTTTCTCCTAATAGCTCCAAGTGTTTCACTATCAAAGCCTGCACTTTTTTCCTGAATCAGCAGCCATGACATTTGGGAACATTTCATTACTACCATTGGTAGCGTGGCTGATCCATAACACCAACTTAGCACGAAAGCTTTCAATATTGTCTGATAATGTTAAAATATTAGAATTCCTGCCTTGCAGTTTTTTGTTGAACTCATTTAAATTGGCAAATATATCTGCCAGATATGCAAGTTTTGCTACCCATTCTTCTCTTTTAAATAGAGAAGCAAAATCTGAACCCTGGGCCTCTAAAAACATCTGGGTCTCATTTTTTAGCTCATAAATTCGAGAAAGCACTTTTCTGCGAGAAAGCCATTGTACTTCTGTATGAAACAGAAGTGACTGATGATCTGCTCCCATTTCCTGACACACTGCCTTAAACAGACGAGAATTCAGCAGTTGCGACTTGATGTAATTGACAACTTTGAAGACTTCTTGTAGGACAGACAATAATTCATCAGGAAGAGATTTCACCATCAGTGTAAAAAGCAGTGTACATTTTTAATATTAGGGTTTTTTCAGAAGCCCTGGTTATAAATCCCTAATTTTTCCTGTCATAGCTGTTGCTCCGTCTGTGCAAATGCTTATGCAGTTGTGCCATTCCAAATTATGCTCACTGAAGTATTGGTCTGTTACTTTGAATATTTCTTCTGCAGTGGTATAGGGCAGTGGAAAAAACCCAACGATACCCCCTTTATAAAAAGGGAGGGTCGATGCGTCAAAGACAGTCTCCAGAGTTAAGCGAACTAGAGGATTATTGTGTGGATTAGCCGCTGCCAGTGACTTTTAAAATCACTGCCGTGCAAGAAACCTCATTGTTGGAAGGGACCTCTTGAGACTCATAATTAAAATCAAGGTATTTATCCTCGCGCGAAGTAAATGTAAACTCTCTCTCATTAATACGGGTTATCGGGAAAGAAGTAGCTATGTTAACTGAATTTGAATATGATTTGTATATAGTAAATAGAACAATAAACGGGTATTATGTATATAAAGCATATCTATAGAGTGTAATTCCTCTGATTCTCTCCTTCCGCCTCCATCCCGGAACCAAAAGTCCGCACACGCGACCATTCGCGTAAGGAAAATTAACGGCCAATCTGGTTTCTGTGTCTGTCCTTAAGACACAGTGGTGTCATCCTGACAGGGTGCCAAAGAGGTGCCGACCCTGCGGTCACACACAGTTCCTCTAAGCTTAAGGCCTAACACTCAGAAATAGATGATGGAAATGCAAAAGGACATCAGTTTTACCATCAAAGCCAATGAAATATCAAAAAATTTCTATTTTGTTGTAGAATAACAAAAATTAGAACAGAAGGCTTTTTAGCAATGATGTCCTATCTTGGGAATCATTAGTTTCACATGACAAACTTACGGTACGTTTAAGGAATTTATCCATTATATACACATACATGTATTAGGAAGTGAAATAATATTTGAATTATAAGTCAGTACAATGTTAGAAAGTGTGATTTTCTTGACAATGAATATATTATTCTTTTTGAAAATGTGATAAAAAAGTGTACAGATTTTGAAGATATAAACAGACTATCTCATTCGATATTTGGAGAAAGGTACTACTGGGTAATTATATGAATTCCAGCTCAGTCTCAAAATTCAATGAAACTTTGCAAAAACATTTATTTGAACCAAAATGGTATCTCTGCAAATTTTGAACCCATTTTAGAATTTAAGATTAAATTTGTAAAAATGAAATTATTTATAATAGTTACAACTGTAACTGCTTAAAAATTTATTTAACCAACTCCAATATCACATTGTTTACTGTCATAATTATTCCAATTGTCTTTCATTATCACCAGGACTGCGAAGTCGGTAAAAAAAACACTCGACTCCGACTCCTGATAATTTCAGTAGCCAACTCTGACAAAATTAAATACCAAGTCATTTTATGGGAAGTAGAGGCACTCACAGGGGTATCCTACTCTGAAAGGAGCCTGGGGCATTTACCCAAATAATTTTATAGTTAGTATTTTTAATATTTAACGTACATTAATATTTATTTGTATAAAAAAATGTAATTTTTATTAAATGTATAAGAGGAGAAAGGGGGAATAAAATTCTAGATCATATATTCTATAGCATTTGCACTTCAATTTCACCCTTCCAGAAGAGTTAGTCCAACTAAAAAGTGCACAATCTAGCTAGCTACTTCAGCCCCTTGTTTAGAAAAGAAAAATATGTACTCTGATCAATTAGTCTGGCTCATTCAGAAAAATAGAGTACTTATTTAGAGTAGGGATAATAAAGGAATGAGTCAAAAATATTCAAATTCAATTGGGTCAAAATAATTTAACTGCTAAACACAAATACTACATATTTAATAAATTAAATTTATGCATTTTGTATTTAAAATAAATAAATTTTCTTTCATTTAAATAAAAAAACTAAAGTAAATTTAAAATGCGGGAGTCGGAGTTGACACACACTATCTGAATCCAACTCTACAGCCCTGATTATCACTTCTCTGGTTTCTTATTGTTTATATCAAAAATACATTTGCTTCTTATAACTAATAAAACATATAATTAGTGAAAATAAAATAAAGTTATAATGTAACAATAATAAAATCAAAATAAGTTTTTAACAGAGAACAATTCAAAAAACAAATAGTGGTTAGGAAAAATAGGAAAAAAAATCTGTTCTTAACGAAAATGCTTATCCAGTTCATAAATATTGTTAGTTGTTAAAAATGTTTTTTTTTTTTTTT